TCAACGCTTGTGAGTCGTGGAATAAACGGTATAATTCGGTCCAGCAAATGAGGGCAATAAAAATGCCACACTAGCAGAGACCATTTAAGCAATTCTCTAAAACCTTTTTTGAAGTTAAATTTAAATTACTGAACTGGGGCAAGCCAGCAGGGACCATGTGCGGAAAAACAAATTTTTTGTTGATTTTTTGGTGAAAAACAAAACAAATGTTTCACCTGAAGTCTATTTCACGTGAAACAAAGGTCTAGCAATGATCCCGAGATTCCTGCTCTGCTAAAATTCATTTGATTTTCATGAATTCTATTTAAATACAGCCGTTTCGAAGTGGCAAGCTAGCAGAGACCATTTGCGAGGGAAACGATTTTCAGGGAACTGGACTGTTAGCGGGGGAGCCCATTTTTCTGTAACCCTGAACGGCCCGTTAACGAAATAAAAACAATTTTTATAGCATTCCACACAGCTAGAAACATGTTTCATCTCAGGACTTTTTTGCGTGGAACCGAGATAGAACAATAACCAATGGCCAATAACCAATGGCACACCGTTGTAACAAAACTCGTTTTTTTTTAGCAATACTATTTAAGGAAAGCCATTCCGAAGAGGCAAGTTAGCAGAGGTATAAGTTTGCTATAAAACTGATTTAAGTAGCGGGAAATTTTTGAAAAAATTAGGTTTAAAAAATTTTTATAGATCCAAAAAAAAAGGCTAGAGCTGTGATGAAAAAAACCGTGTTACAACAAAATGTAATCCTGCGGGCAAAAATGATTTGCTAATGGCTTGGTGTCATCTTCCCAAAAAAAATACGCAAAATACGCAAAAAATGCCGTGAATTTCCCCAATGATCTCTGCCAGTCTGCCGCCAAATAAAACGTTCCTGCCGTAGAATAAGTTCTCAATTCGACGCGCTTTGGCGATTGCGTCGACTATTTTCAATTAAGGGCGAGGGGGAGCGATTTTCGACGGGTTTCTTTTTTGGCCGTGTGGCCGGCTCGGGGGCCATTTCCTGCATTTCCTGAATCAACAATGAAACTACATTCTCACCCACGGAATTAGGTATCGAGAGGAAAACATTGACATAGGCAAGCTAGCGGGGATTCTTTGAGGAATGCAGAAAAAAGGTACTGACAGACATAGATTGCTCAAGAGTTTTGGCCTTGGAGATTGGTCCTTTTTGAAACATTTTTTTGTCATAGAGAGAGAGATAGAGAGAGAGAGAGAGATAGAGAGAGAGAGAGAGAGAGAGAGAGAGAGAGAGTGAGAAAGGGAGCGAGAGAAAGAGTGAGAGAGAGAGAAAAAGAGAGATTTTTTAATCAAATACTTCGAAGCGTTGCGCAGGTTAGCGAAAATCATTCGGGAAATTCAGAAAAATGTTACGGGAGAATCCATTAATTAACAATTTTTCAGCTGGAGGATGGAACTTTGTTGAAACATTCAATCGGTAAAATTGACAGACCTCCTGGTTCTTGTGCATTATCCGGGGGGAGCGGGTAGTGAATTTTCCTAAAAATTCCGGGATGCCCAGGGATGTAAAAGAAAAAAAGAAATGCTGCCAAAAAATGGGAAATTTAATAGTAATTTTTTTAGCACTTTCTGGCGGAATTTGAAGACTTCAAACCATTCTAAAAAAGTTGAATTTTTGAATTTTGAAATTTTTATTACCTATTTTTTGTATTTAAAAAGGCGTTTATTTATTTATGCCAATAAACCAAACTTTCTTAATAACTTGCATTTTGTAATAAAATAAGTATTTAATTTTTATGTCTAAAAAGCGTGTAAACGCGTAAGATAAAAACATTTTTAATTTCTATTATGAATCCGAGAACGCCTGAAAACGGGCAAGTCCCCGGATAATGCCAAAGAACCGCATTAATGCATAGTGCAGCGAGCTAGCAGAGATCATTTGGGGTAATTCCTGGTGCAGAATTGGACACGGGATTGACCAATAGTTTTGAACCGGGAGTTTGGTCTTTTTTGCAACATTTTTTAACCAAAGCAATCAATGGCAGACCAAGAGAAAGAGGGGGAGCCAGGAAGCAAGAGAGAGAGAGAGAGAGAGAGAGAGAGAGAGAGAGAGAGAGAGAACGCAGTGAGCGGTCAGGCTAGCAGAGATTCCTCAAATGTAGCTTGATTCCGCTGGTTCCGGGATGACGAAGGAATGGCCCTCCTGGCCAGAGATCGACGGAATCGGAAACCTAAGCCTGGGTAAACATCCGGAGAAAAGACGGAAAGGGGAAAGTTCGGGTGGAAATATTATAGTTATTTCGGGGGCTGAAACCGTTCAAATCTGCCTCTCTCTCATCCCAAATGATCATTGTTAGCCTGCCGACATCAAGCCTCGAAGGCCCTTTGGCATTATCGGGGGGGGTTTGAAAAATCCGAGACTCTTATATGAGTACAGGAGATGTTTCTAAACTGTTTTTTTTTACTATTCCTGAACCTAAAAACGTTCAAAGCTTTCCCTAAATAAATACTCAAAATATCAATGTTTCGAACAATAAAGGCGCTTTGCGACCAAAGGCTCGACTAAAAAATGTCTTAGATTTTCTGATGGTTTTTTTTACCAACGGCAGGCTAGCAGAGATCATTTGGGAAAGCTAGAAAAGACTAATCGAATCCGCCCCCGCCTTCTTGAGAATCCCTACTCAAATTAGCCCCCAAAAAATTAATCTATCACCCCTCTAGGATTGTCAATTGGTTGCGCGCGAAAGCTGGAATTAGAATTTGTAAAGAATTGGTTAGAATTTCGTTGGCGTCGAGAAATTACACCTTCGATTCCCATAAAAAACTACGAAATTTCAGGAAACAATCTATGGTTCAAAATTTTCACAGACTTATAAAAATGTGTTTCGCCCAAATTTTGAATGCGCTGTTTTGGGGATTAAAATTGATATCAAAAAAAATCCATCTACGGCAATTTGATATGGATTTTTATAGGTAAAAACGGAGGAAAAACCTAATTTTCGGGTGTGATTTTGTACTTTTAATTAGTTAAAAAAATTGCGCCTTCTTGTAAATACATAGTAAAGCACCGACCGTTTGGAAAAAAATTTAAAAATTGTTTTTAGTTTAGAAAATGCACCGAAAAATATGGTAGCAATATTACCTTGAAAACCAGATTTTCTGTTTATTACTTGGTATTTTTAGCTAAAACCTGGCGGAATGCACTCGACGAATTTTCACGTTTTCCATTTCCGCATCTCGCCAGGTCCGAGAAAGAAAATAATTATGATTGTTTTTTAGCAAATTGAATACCCATGGCTTACCCCATTAGTCCGACAAATAGCAGCCACACGCGCCATAAATTTGAAACATGTGTTTGTTCGAGCCCATTGAGTTACTTTTTTCAGGGTTTTAATATGCATAAAATTCCCGAAATTCTTATATGTGACCAAATTTTATCAATATTTTAAATCGCGTTATGAAAATCATAAATAGGCGAACCATATTGAAAATCTAAATAAAATCAATAGTTCAATCAATAAAATAAATTTGAAAGTGCAAAAATTCTATAAATCACAGAGTAGCAGTAAATCAAGGGAATTAAGGAATTTTTAACATAACATTAAACTGATTAAAATTTAGCAACGATACCGATCCGTAAATTACACCTTCGATTTTATAAAAAACTACGAAACTTTTTGAAACGTGCCAGCTTTTGAATTGTTAAACCCAGGGTTTAAAAATGTGTTGCACTCAAATTCGAACATATTTTTATGTAAATAAAATTAAGCAAGTTAAAAATACAATGGTTTTTCATACCACAAAATTGACGTTTCACGATCTGACTTCACTGGCGTCCCGATCGCGCAGCAACCCTTAAATTTCGGCGAAACATTTTTGCAGAAAAGTGCCAGAAAACAGCACTTTTTTCAAAAATATCCCATTTAGCGTTATTTATTTCATTGATTACCCTCAAAAAATATACCTTTTGATAAATACAATCAAAAACAACAATAATTTACAAAAAAATTGTCGTAATAAGCACGAAGACTCGCAGAATCTGACTATCAAGTCGAGAAACCGCGGTTTCCTGTGCATTCTTTGAAACATTCTATTTTTACTGGTAAAAATTGCTAAATTATATGATTCTAATTCACCGGCTTAAAGTTTGTTTTTAAAATTGAAACTTTAAAGCAGATTAAAAGTGGCTTCGTCTAACTGTGAAGTTGTGCGAGGATTGATTCATCTAATTCCATCACACATCTCAAATTCTGTTGAAACATTTTTGCAGAAAACCGACGGAAAATCGCATTTCTAGAGCGAGGATTCCGCAGCTTTCCGCACGTACGCATAATTTGATGTGTTGCCCTGCAGATAATTGGGCGGTGTTCCCCGAAAGATCCAGCGAAATGACCAGACATTAATTATCCGAGTGGCTCCTATTTCGAGCAGAAAGAAACTATGTTTCAACGAAGGTGTTACCTCAATTCAATTTGGCATTAGCAATACCTGGGCATCTTGAAGCAGAAAAATAGTTTAAACACAATAATTTAGTAATTGGTACTTGGCTATTAGCGGGGGGGGGACTAATGCTGGTTTTCCTCCCACCTTTAACATATGCCGTTAATAATACTTTGTGTTTTTATAGGATTTTTGTAGCTTTTGATCTCCAGAAAGTATAAAAAATATAATAAAATGCTGCAATTGTGAAAGTTTCGGGTTTGCTTGAGCGTTTTCAAATTGATTGTATTCGCAATTTTTCAAATTCTGTAAAATCCAAGGTTTTTGTGATTTTGAAAATTAGATGTTTCCAATTTTTGGCTCGGCATTGTGTATGATAATTTGTCCTTGGGCCCATTGTGAAATTCAAATAACGTATAGCATTCTCGGCTAGAGTAAAGGTACGGTCTCTCTTTCTCTCTCTTTCTCTCTCTCTCCCGCTTTAGTTTTTGCGGAACGGCGGATATGAATATCTTTATTCACTCTGCAAAATCCTAAGACCCGTTTTTGACGATTTTCATATTTTCATTGCGTAAGCGGTTGCCTTCTCCAGCCGCTCAGCTGGCGGTTTTTTCTGAAAAACGCATATTCCAACAAGTTGCCTATGGTAATTTCTGAAATAACTTCACTTTTCCTTCAGCCCAAATTAATTAATTTAATTTATATTTTGCTTATTACCTTTTTCCATGAAAAGCAGACACTGCTCGTAGACGAGGAAAATGATGGCGTTCACCGGGAATCCGCGGAGCACCATCGAAAGGCCGCCTAAAAATTTGGTTTTTTTTTTGTTGTTCGTGATTTTAAATGTGTTTCATAATAATTTTTTAAAGCCCTATTTTAACTGTATAAAACAAAAACCTTTGTAAAAAGACCGCCAGCCTTCGGCGGCCAGGATTTCGCGACCGACGGCTAAGGTTGATCTGAAATTTGGTGAGAGGTAGGTTAGCAGGGTTTCTTTGACGAGAGCGCGAGAGAGAGATCGAGAGAGATAGAGAGAGAGCGAGAGAAAGAGAGAGAGAAAGTGAGAAAGAGAGAGAGAGAGAAAGAGAGAGAGAGACTGACCTGGGCGTGTCGGCAATTTGTATCCGGCTCTTGATCACTTCCAGGGGGCAGATGCTCAGCCAACTGATCGAACCGGCACACCCGCCTGCTATCAACTAAAACGTGCTTTAAAAAATTTGACAAATTAAATGAAAATTTTTTAAAATATGTGTTTCAAAATTCGTTCAAAAAATGTTGTTCCCAAAATTTGGAGTTTGTCCTTTTTCATTTTGCAAAGATTGTCGCGTTTTTCAATCAAGGAATTTCGATTGAAATTTTAAATTAAAATTAAATTAGCTTAATGTTTTTTATTTTCATGATATTAATTCGACCGGCTTTTAATAATCCTACCTTATATAATTTTGGCGCGTATGTGTGTGTGTGTGTGTGGATGTCACTTTCGAGGCCCGATTTTAGGGCCTTCCCATGCATAAAATGCCCTAATACTCCGTCACCCGGGGGAATCGACCCTTCTGTTTCCGATGACGTTCTCAGAATTTTGATAAAATCCAAGTTTACAAAGTTAAAGCCGGTTTTATTCATTTTTGGGGGTCCAGGAGGGCTCATTTGCATAATGCGAAAAAATACAAATTTCCTCATTCTTGCCAGTTGCACTCGCGAGTTTGGTCGGGGGTGGGGGTCCGAAGGACCCGAGCTATCAGAAAGTCAAACTTTTCACGTAAAGGCCGCATTCCAGCGCCCAAGGCCCGCGAAGCGGGTTTTGGGCGCTGGTAAGGTATATGATGAGGTATCTAAATACCTGCGCGGCCGTCGTGTTCGAGCCCCGATTCTTCAAAAATCGATGTAGCGTCTCGTAGACGGGCAGGTAGAACAGATTGCCGAAACAATCCCTTACCGCCATCACGTTCCCGCCCTATAAAATTAATCATTATAATGCTGATAATAATATAAATATTATAATTTAGATAATAATACAGCCTAAGGTTAATTGGAGGCCATTAAAAACTTCCCCACTCAAACAAAAAAAGCCAAAAAAATGTTTCAAAAATTTTAAGCCTTAACGGTCAAAAAATTCTGCATTCAGTGGCAGCATCCATCGATAAATCAGCTAAAACCTGAAAAATTTACCCGATAAATGGCTCGAATCCCCTCGGCTTTCCACATTTTTCGTGCGCAATCCCACGGGCCGTGAAAACGGGCCGAGGCGGACGCGTAGCCCTCCGTTTGAAACTGAAAAATTCGTGTTTCAAGCCTAAGCCAAGCCTAAGCCAAGCCTAAGCCAAGCCTAAACCAAGCCTAAGCCAAGCCTAAGCCAAGCCTAAGCCAAGCCTAAGCCAAGCCTAAGCCAAGCCTGGGCCAGGCCTAAGCCGCCTCCGCCAAGCCTAAGCCAAGCCTAAGCCAAGCCTAGCCAAGCCTAAGCCTGGCCTAAGCCAGCGCCTAAGCCAAGCTGTCCAGCTAAGCCTGCCAGCCTAAGCCGCCTAAGCCAAGCCTAAGCAGCTTCGCCGCCTAAGCCTGGCCTAAGCCTAAGCCTGCTTCAAGCAGGCCTAAGCCAAGCCTAAGCCAAGCCTAAGCCAAGCCTAAGCCAAGCCTAAGCCGCTGCCTAAATGAGCCTAAGCCGCCCAAGCCTAAGCCCGAAGCCTAAGCCAAGCCTAAGCCAAGCCTAAGCCAAGCCTAAGCCAAGCCTAAGCCAAGCCGCTAAGCCAAGCCTAAGCCAAGCCTAAGCCAAGCCTAAGCCAAGCCTAAGCCAAGCCTAAGCCAAGCCTAAGCCAAGCCTAAGCCAAGCCTAAGCCAAGCCTAAGCCAAGCCTAAGCCAAGCCTACGCCAATACCTGAAGCCTCGTCTTCACAGCTTCGACAGGTATCGACGGGATTAGTTGCGGGATGGAGCCGATGAACGAGGCGAACATTATCTGAAAAAGGGGGGATTTTCTACCGATTTTTGACGTCACGCGTCGCGTGTCGCGGGGCGGAAAACTTGTTGATGTTCTTGTAGAATTGCCAAAAATGGTTACTAAATTAAAATCCGGGAAAGATAGTACCTCGGCGAGTGGCAAATCCTTGCGCGCTTCGACGTGTGCCTCTCCCGGATGCATCAGGTGGAGCGTCGTGGCATAGCCAAAAAAATTGGGTTACTTTCAAAATCATCAAATTGAGGATACCGAAGTTTTTACGGTTTTCGCTATTTTACGGTATCTATTAACAGGCGACGAATAAAAATTAGCTTCCCCGTTAACGATCCAGAAACTTGAATATATGGAATGTTTTTCCTTAGATTTTCTTCTTCTTCTTATTATTATTATTTAGAGGTTTATATTATAAAGATTTCGAGCGTACTTTACTTTACGGCTTTACTAAAGTTATAACCAATTTAATTAGCATACCCGGCAAAGAGGAGCGAGTGCTGGATGCCGGCAAAAAGACACGGCGCCGTCACCCCCTTGTACATTCCTAGCACCTAAATAATTACTAAAATCAATATCAACCCTAAAATACATATTAATAAACAAAATGCCTATTTTATTCACTTGTTTTATTGATTAATTTTAGCATTAAAATAGAAAATAAAAGCTAGATATGAGGAGAACACCATGATAGTAATCCATAACTGCTTTAGTCATTATCTCAAATCGACTACGGTAATAAAAAATTGGTTGAGTTGGAGATGGTTTGAAACATATTTAAAAAAAACGAATTTTTGCCGGCCTTTTTTTGGGTTTTGTCATAGTTATTGATGGTAAGAGACAAACCCCCTCCGTTTTCAGCACTTTCCCGACACATTGAATTATGCCCGAATAGCTGGAGCTCGTTTGTAGTCGCGTTTTTACGGTATCCAACGGGTAGCCGAAGAAGATACCGGCAGCGCCTGAAATCATAATTGGGCGGATCCGCAAAGAATCGTTGCTAGATTGCCCTCTCTCTGTCTCCCTTTCTCTCTTTCTCTCTCTCTGTCTCCCTTTCTCTCTTTCTCTCTCTCTCTCTCTCTCTCTCTCTCTGTCTCTGTCTCTCTCTCTTTCTTTCTCTCTCATTCTTTCTCTCTCCCGCTCTCTCTTCTTTCTCTTTCTCTTTCTCTCTCTCTCTCTCTCTCTCTCTCTCTCTCTCTCTCTCTTCTCTCTTTCTCTTTCTATCGTCTCTGTCTCTCTCTCTCTCTCCCTCTCTCTCTCTCTCTCTCTCTCTCTCTCTCTCTCTCTCTGTCTCTGTCTCTGTCTCTCTCTCTCTTTCTTTCTCTCTCATTCTTTCTCTCTCCCGCTCTCTCTTCTTTCTCTTTCTCTCTCTCTCTCTCTCTCTCTCTCTCTCTCTCTCTCTTTCTCTTTCTCTACGCGTCTCTCTGTCTCTCTCTCACTCTCTCCTTCTCTCTCTCTCTCTCTCTCCCTGTCTCTCTCTCTCTCTCTCTCGCTTTCTAAAAGCTATTAAATTAATTAGAAACCCACCGGCCACCGATCCGGCCAGAAAATCGTTGACGGTCATTTCTTGGATTTAGCGCAAAAATGACCGAAAAAAACGAGTAGCGAATCTGAAATTTTACTGAAATCCATTAAATAATTGTAGTTTGTATAATAATAAAGTTAAAGTTAGGAAACACAAAAAAAAACACGAAAACTCAGACAAGATGCCGTTTTTGCTACCAGGGGGCTTCCCTAGATGGCGTGTTGATAAGGAGGGGGAAGATCGAGGGGCCAAGGTCACTCCCCCCCCCCCCATAACCAACAAAAATAGATAACAAAAAACTGATTTTTGCATGGGTTAAATTAGAGATATTTAGAACAAAAGAATTGTTGAAGTTTCGCGCTTAAAAGTGGGCAAAAATGTTTCAAAAACTTGTAGTTTTTGGGAATTATTTTTGGTCATAATATCATCATCCTTGGATCCGAGGACTGAAACCTAACCCTAAGCCAAGCCTAAGCCAAGCCTAAGCCAAGCCTAAGCCAAGCCTAAGCCAAGCCTGCCAAGCCTCCTGCCAAGCCTAAGCCAAGCCTAAGCCGCCCGCTCTGCCAAGCCTCCAAGCCAAGCCTGCTGCTTCAAGCCAAGCCTAAGCCAAGCCTAAGCCAAGCCGCCAGCCAAGCCTGCCGCCCGCCGCCCAAGCCGCTTAAGCCAGCCCGCCGCCTAAGCCGCTCCAAGCCGCTTCCAAGCCAAGCCTGCCGCTCACGCCGCTCAAGCCAAGCCGCTTCCAGGCTCGCCCGGCGCTCCGCTTCAAGCCCAAGCCGCTTCCGCCGCCTGCCAAGCCCAAGCCGCTTCCAAGCCAAGCCTAAGCCGCTCCCGCCAGCCCGCCAAGCCCACGCCTGCCGCTTCCAAGCCAAGCCTACGCCAAGCTCCAAGCCGCCTAAGCCAAGCCTAAGCTGCCCAGCCAAGCCCAAGCTCGCCTGCTCCGCCTAAGCCAAGCCCGGCCGCTTCCAAGCCGCTGCCGCTCAAGCCTGCCCAAGCCAAGCCTAAGCCAAGCCTAAGCCAAGCCTAAGCCAAGCCAAAGCCAAGCCTAAGCCAAGCCTAAGCCAAGCCATGTGCTTTGCAGTTTTCTGTGTTCAGGCTGATTTTAAACACTTTATTCCTCCTGTAAACTCGAATAACATAAAAATGTTGTAAAAACACAAAACAAGAAACGTTCAAAAATTCCGGATTCCAGGACAAACCTTCTGACGATCCATTTCCATCGTGATTCCCGTCCGGGCGGGTGTGGTTATGCAGAAAATCGAGGAGGCCGTGCTGCTTAGCACAAGCACGAAGCTCCGCCCATTTTTGGTCGTCGGAAGAAGTGGAGTTGGCTGAAATGAGAGACTCAGAGCGAGCGAGGGAGAGAGAGAGACAGCGAGAGAGAGCGAGAAAGAGAGTGAGATAGCGAGAGAGAGAGCGAGTGAGAGAGTGAGCGAGAGAGAGTGAGAGTGAGCGTCAGAGTGAGAGTGAGAGAGAGCGAGTGAGCGAGAGAGAGTGAGAGAGAATAAGAGAGAGAAAGCGAGAGAGAGTGAGAGAGCGATAGAGAGAGTGAGGGAGAGAGCGAGAGAGAGCACCAACCAGGCAGCGTATTCCGGAGCGTCGCGGATGCGTTCTGCGCCTAAAATCCTATTTTTACGCACCGACAGGGCAGGCTATCAGGGATTCTTTGAGGAAAATCAAGTTAAGCGCCGGACCCACATTTTTGGCGACCACCAAGTTCCGGGCGATGATCACCGGCGCGGGTCCCGGGGCGGTTATCGTCTGGAAAGTGTCGGATTTTAGAAATAATTTAATTATTTTTATAAATATTTTTTATTGAATTTAGTTGTTCGGAACCTTAAAATTTACCTAGCTTTTTTAAACTGGCCGAAATTTAAATGTCTAAACCACACCTGCACGCTGGCGTGGGCGATCGCGATTTTGGCTCCTGACGCCGGGCCGGGTGCGGAAATTGGCTAAAAAATCATTAGTGACGTTTCGGAAGAAGTCATTGACGGTCCACGCGGCACGTGACGCAACGCGCCAAGCCACGCCACACGTGACTGCTACGCAAGCTGACACGCAACGCCGCAAAGAGCGCAACGCGTAACGCAACGCGTCACGCACCGCGAATCTCAACGCCGCACGTGACGCGACACGCCAACGCGGCACGTGGCACGCAACGCGGCATGCAACGCGGCACGCAACACGGTCCGTATCGCCCCACGGTTGATACGGAACGCAACAAGACGCGACACGCGATGCGACACCCAACTCTCAGCCGAGCGAGTAACGCAACACGTAGCGCGAAACACGGCGATGCGCGCACCGGGACACGCAACCCGGAACGCGACACGACACGCAACGCGACACCCACTCGAATGCCACGCCAGATGCGGCACGCCAGGCCACACGCATGGCGACGCGCAACGCAACACGCTACGCGGGCTACGACTCCTACGCCCAACTCGGTACGCACCGCGGTGCGCATTGTAGCTCGCGACTTACACGCGACGCGACACGCGACGCGCGAAAAGGGACTCGCAACGCGCCACGCAACGCGAAAAGGGACTCGCAACGCGACGCGCAACGCTCTACGCAACACGCCACGCTACGCGAAAAGCGACTCGCAACGCGACGCGCAACGCTCTACGCAACACGCCACGCTACGCGAAAAGCGACTCGCAACGCGACGCGCAACGCCTCTACGCAACACGCCACGCTGCGCGAAAAGCGACTCGCAACGCGACGCGCAACGCTCTACGCAACACGCCACGCTACGCGAAAGCGACTCGCAACGCGACGCGCAACGCTCTACGCAACACGCCACGCTACGCGAAAAGCGACTCGCAACGCGACGCGCAACGCTCTACGCAACACGCCACGCTACGCGAAAAGCGACTCGCAACGCGACGCGCAACGCTCTACGCAACACGCCACGCTACGCGAAAAGCGACTCGCAACGCGACGCGCAACGCTCTACGCAACACGCCACGCTACGCGAAAGCGACTCGCAACGCGACGCGCAACGCTCTACGCAACACGCCACGCTGCGCGAAAAGCGACTCGCAACGCGACGCGCAATGCGCCACGCAACAAGTCGTCTCATGTGGCCAAGCGGGCGAGCGTTGGTGGTCCTGAGGGAGCTCGAACACGATAGCTCCGCCTTGCTGGTCCCTTTAAACTCTACCTGCGCACTGGCGTGGGCGATGGGGATCTTCCCGGGTGCAGGCAGCGGGGCGGTTATTGGCTGAAAGTAAGCAAAATTGTTTACGAAATTTTCTATTCTCAGAAAGAATTAAAAGAATGGGAATATAATTTACCCACCTCACTCCACGCACGGGGTATCACTGCTTTTGGGGCCACTGGTTTCGGCTGGGCCTGAAACAAATGTTTTTCAGGGTCCGCTACGAATAGGCAACGCGGACGAGCCGCTTTTCTGCGATATCAGTCGGTCATAATCCATTACGCAATAGAAAGGTGCGGAAAAGGCAGGCCAGCAGAGATTCTTTGAGGAATGCAGAGATAGAGAGAGAGAGAGAGCGAGAGAGACAGAGAGAGAGAGAGAGAGAGAGAGAGAGAGAGAAAGGCGAGAGAGCGGAAGAGAGAGGAGAGGGAAGAGACAGAGTGAGAGTGAGAGGGAGAGAGTGCGAGAGGCAGAGAGCGAGAGAGAGAGAGAAAGAGAGAGAGGGAGAGAGAGAGAGAGACAGACAGACAGAGAGACGTGATAGAAAGAGAAGAGAGAAGAGAGAGTGAGAGAGAGGGAGAGAGAGAGGGCGAGGGAGGGAGGGGCACGCTAGCAAAGTTTCTTGCGGAATTGGAAGCTGGTTAAAACTGACCGCTTTCGTCTCGGCCGTGGCCGCATCCTGACAGTAGACGATCAATAGGATCAGCGGCGATACCTAGAAATTTGGGTACTTCTCTGTTAGCGGGGGGAGTGGTATTTTTCGTTAATATATCAGTTTTTTCTAGCGTTTTAGCATAAAACCAGAAAGATCAGAAAAGATACCGTAGTAAAATTGGTTCTCTCCCCCCCGCTAACGCTACAGTACCAAAATCGCAAAAAATTACAGCCAGAATTTAATTATTTTTGTCTATTAACTGGCAGGTAAATTTCGTTTGAAAGTGCAAAAATCTGGCGGCTGAAGAATTAATTAAATTCTCGGTAACGAAACGCTGATAACATACCGTAAGCAGCCGCATCGCGCCGCGCGACGCAAAGTGGAGCCGTCCGGAATTCCAGGGCTTTTATAGAAACGATTTTTAATGGCCATTCCCACCCGTAAAATACTGTACTTTCCGAGGGATTTATTGGCCCCCATTTTATGGAGCGGCAATTTGGCGTGGGAATGAATTTGAAAATCGATTTGCCGGCCCGGAAATTCACAGAAAATGGATGTTTCGGGGGTTGAAGAATAATAGGAAATTTTCGGGTTCTGGACTGTTAGCGGGGGGGGGCAGCCAAATTTTTGCCTGTCATTCTTTACGGCCCTATAGCAAAAATACCATAAACGATTTTTCTAGCATTTTACATAGTTTTTAGAGAGAAAAGCAATATAAAAAACTTAGAAAAGTTGTAATTTTTTTGTCAAAAAATCTCTCGCTCTCTCGCTCTCTCTCACTCCACCTCTCTCGATCCCGCTCTCTCTCTCTCTCTCTCTCTCTCTCTCGTGTCTCTCGTGTCTCTCTCTCTCTCCCTAAATTCCCCAAAAAATCTCTGCCAGTCCCCCGGCATTTCCAAACCCTCTCAACTCAACCCATTTTTGGGGGGCCCACATCGGCTGTTATCACGGGGCTGACTGTGGCTGGGTGGTGGCAAATTGGGTAGTAGTGTGTCGGAATGGGCCATAAAGGGCCATGAAATGACCGAAGGGACAAGCCATTGTAGAGAAAGATGAAGAAAACGGCGAAGAGCCCCTTATCACCCCTAATAGAGCACCGTCCGTCTCACACCTTCCCAACCAATACAACAACGCTCCTTTTTGCTGCATTGATCCTCTGAATTTGGGTGGTTGTGATGTCACTTGGTGTTACTGTACCTTTAATGGGGGGCAGGCTAGCAGAGATCATTTGGGATGAGAGAGAGAGGGGAGGGGGCAGGCTAGCAGAGATCATTTGGGATGAGAGAGAGGGGGAGGGGGCAGGCTAGCAGAGATCATTTGGGATGAGAGAGAGGGGAGGGGGCAGGCTAGCAGAGATCATTTGGGATGAGATCATTTGGGATGAGAGAGGGGGGGGGGGCAGGCTAGCAGAGATCATTTGGGATGAGAGAGAGAGGGGAGGGGCAGGCTAGCAGAGATCATTTGGGATGAGAGAGAGGGGAGGGGGCAGGCTAGCAGAGATCATTTGAGATGAGAGAGAGGGGGAGGGGGCAGGCTAGCAGAGATCATTTGGGATGAGAGAGAGGGGGAGGGGCAGGCTAGCAGAGATCATTTGGGATGAGAGAGAGAGGGGGAGGGGGCAGGCTAGCAGAGATCATTTGAGATGAGAGAGAAGGGGAGGGGGCAGGCTAGCAGAGATCATTTGGGATGAGAGAGAGGGGGAGGGGGCAGGCTAGCAGAGATCATTTGGGATGAGAGAGAGGGGGAGGGGGCAGGCTAGCAGAGATCATTTGGGATGAGAGAGAGGGGGGAGGGGCAGGCTAGCAGAGATCATTTGGGATGAGAGAGAGGGGGAGGGGCAGGCTAGCAGAGATCATTTGGGATGAGAGAGGGGAGGGGCAGGCTAGCAGAGATCATTTGGGATGAGAGAGAGGGGGTGGTACTGTTGTTACTGTAGATCGGATAATCAAGAAAACTTAATTTTCATAAAAATCGAACCTTTTGGTCGAAAAATTTAAACTTGTTTGTCTTTTCTAGTTTTTATAAAGTTTTTTACGCTTAGAACACCAAAAATTGTTTAGAAACATTTCCAGAATTTTTATTAGAAATTTTCTACCCTTAGAAAAAAATTTAGACCTGCAAAAAACCCAATCTTTCGAAATTCCTCAAAGAATCTCTGCTAGCGTGCCCCGTTTCGTTTTTTAACCAATTTTTTCAACTCAGCTGATAAATGGTTTGCTGGGTGCAAAAAGGAGCTTGTAATTCGGCGGCTCATCCCCCCGGCCAAGCCCACCAAAAACTGCCGATAAGCCCCCGGCCAACATATCGATTTTTCGGCATTCTTCGGTATTTAACCAATTTGCCTCGTTAATTTACTAATTTATATAATTTTATTTTTCTCAAATCAATTCGTGGCATAAAAACAAAATTAGATTTTGAAGCATTTTTGAAAAATTTGATGTTTCGAAGAATTGCCTAGAAAAAAAATGGCTATCCGTCTGCATTTTCCGTTGTACCGACCGATTTTTGCCTTTTTTCGCCGCCGTCGATTTTTGGCGTGAATATGATCATTTAAATTATAATAATTAAATTAATTGTAGCACCGAACTCGCCTAGCAAAAAAATACAAGCTTTTCGGGCAATTTTCTGATCGCCGGGATTTTTTTAGGGCATTTTTTTATGAGGGCCTTGCTTTAATAATATATTATATAATATTTTGAATAATAATTTGGATCGGTATATTTAAATTTATCTTACCTATGTGCAACAAATTACGGCGTCTCGAATTCCATGAGGCCCACCCAGAAATTTTTTGCTAAAAACATGTTTCGTCCAATTCTTGAGACAAATGTGGTCGCGTCGGGGTTATTGCCTCACACGTTCTTGAGTAAATTACCCAGCGTTGAGGCCTGATTGTAAACCCCAATTTAAACCTTAAGTGTAGCCTAAGCCGGTCTCATAAAATTATCATTATTTTTATTGATTTCCAGCGCGGCCCGGGTGTGTAGCCGAATGCGTGGCGATGGCTCAGCTGCCCGGCAGATGATGTTCTACGGGCTGTTCGTCGTCTTCTGGGCCCTCAACGCGTCGTCGCACATCGCCGGCGAGTACTGTGGTGCGTCTAAAACAATTGATATAACAATCTAGGCAGCTAAAGGTTTCCACAAATATTTTTCAAAATCTTATGTTTCAAATTTTGTGAAGATCAAAATATTTCTTCAAATTTTGCTACAACCCGATAAAATTTACTTAAAAAAAATTATGTAAATACCTGGCCCCGTGTCAGCCCATGATATTTCTCACTTTGCATCCTTGCATAGGGTGCTCCATTCCGATGTGTGAATAATAAAAAATGTTACTCGCAAGCTCTTTATATAGGCTCCCGCCACTTCCGGTTTATGCAAGTTGTTTCCTACCAAAGAGGGTTCCCGACTTTACAAGCAAAAAATAATTTTAATGTCGAAAACTGCTGATTTTGTAAAATCTGGTATGCGCGCAGTCATCTAATGGCCATCACGCACCTAATGACGTATCGTACGTAGCCTCTTACCATTCGCTTCTTGAGATATCCTCCGGACAGCCTGACGGAAGTTGCATGCAAAGTGGCACACACAGACACTATTTTTTGATATGTTATATATATTTTTTACACTATTCTGCCAAGTGATCTTCAGCAACCTGAAATTCATGCGCTAAACAAAAAATAAACAAAAGTTCAATGCGAAATGCATATGTTTCAAATATATTTAAAAATCGGGAAATTTCGGCAAGACCTAATTATACACGGCTTCGTTGCCGATCATTAAAAACCATCTAAAATAAAAATCTAGTTTTGATAATTGCGTTTCTAAAAATTTTGGTATGAATTCGTGCTACAGAGATGGTTCAAAAAAAGGTTGAAATCTGCATGTTTCAAATTCCTTTCAAGAACAATAAAGTTTTGGGGAATTTATTGGTCCTGGTTGTTATGAGGAAATCATTATAAATCAAAAATACATATTTTTAAAAGGGAAAATATAAAAATGAATGAAAATATAAATTACAATTAATTCCTCGTCAGCGCTCGATCCGAACTCGACGATGCCGCCGCCGGATGCGGCCGACGAGTGTACCACGGAGAATTGGAATGTCTTCCCGAATCCGGCCACCAGGAATGCTACGGTGGGTGGAGAGTGGGAGCGAGAGAGAGAGAGAGAGAGTGAGAGAGACGGAAAGAGAGCGTCAAAGAGAGATAGAGAGCGAGAGAGTGAGAGAGAGACTGAAAGAGAGTGAGAGAGATAGCGAGCGAGAGAGATACAGAGAGCGCAAGCTAGAGAGAGTGAGTGAGAGAGAGAGAGAAACAGAATCTACCTTGCCAAACCCTTTAAAAATGTGCTTATAGGGTCACTACTGTAAAGTGCTATTTCTCCTCGACCTGTCCCCGGATTATGTGACTCGGGAGGAATTTGATAAGGTAAGCGGATAGACCCAATTACGGTAACAGCCAAATGCAGAAAATCTTAAACATAAACAAATTTAACGATTTTTCGGAAGTTATGACCGCCAAATTTTTATTGAGGGGTTCTTGGACTCGACTAAAATCGAACAAAAAAACTTTTATTGGAAAAATTTATGAAACAGATAGTTTCATAATGTGTTAGAAAACATTTTGCAGGTAGAAACATTCATTGGCGAATCGCTAGAATAGCTAAAGTTGTGGACACAAGCCGAAAAAAAATTAAATCCAACGCGAACATTTTATTTTTGAAAATTTATGAAACATATTTTTGAACATATTTTTTGGAAAGGATTGAGTTGAGAAATGGAAAATACGCCTAGCAGATATCATTGGAGAGCTAAGAGGAAATAGAGATACAATCTGCATATTTAGGCGCTTTTGCCGGCCCTCGCCCAAATGGCTGATCAATGTCTGGACGTGGAAGTTGGGTACGCCGTCATTGCATTTCCACTCTTTTATAAGGTATGTTTTTGCAAGGGCAGGCTAGCAGGGATTATTTGAGAAATACAGAGATCGAGAGAGCGAGAGAGAGCGAGAGAGAGAGAGAGAGAGAGAGAGAGGAGAGTGTGGAGAGAGAGGGGGAGAGAGAGAAACGTGAGATAGAGAGAGTGAGAGAAAGTGCGAGAGTGAGAGAGAGAGGGGGGAGGCTAGCAGAGATTCTTTGCGGAACGGGTCCCTTATCCCGATTTTTTGGGCAGAACGAAGAGACGGTAAAGTACTGCTGCGCGGTGGCCGGCTGTGACGAGACGTTCACGACAACGATGGTCGACTACGATAAATGGGTGTGATTTTTTGTACTTTTCGGTTATCGGGGGGGCGTTTTTATAACGTTTAAAAAAGTTTATAAAAAAATAAAATTCGAATTTAGGTGCAACCGTACGACGACGTGCAGCAGGACCAGTATTTCTGGAACGAGACGACGTCGGCGAATTTTAGCTACGCCTTTTTGATCGAGGTCAAAAATGTCCCTGAATTATTTCCACAGGCTTACCCGGAAACTAGAAAATTTCAGAAACATACTTTCACAAAAACCGGTTAAAAAATTTTTAAGATTTCTCAACACTCGTGCGAGTTCAGAATTGTTGCGAGAAATTTTTACAAAATTAGGAAAACAAGTTAAACACAAATTTCAGTCAAAAAATTTTATGTAAAGACAATTCGACGCCCATTGATGCCGCCATGTTTTGCGCAAATTTGAAACTTTATGAAACATAATTTTTTGATAATGCGGTGATGCTCTACAACAGTTTTTGCGAAATGCAACTATTTAACTTCAGCGTTTTTTACATTTTTTTGGATTAAAATCCCCTACTAGCAACCATTATTGGCGGTAAATATTGCTAAATCTCCAAAATAAGAGAAACACAATTTTGCAAAAACAACGGCACTTTTACTCGTTTTTAGACAGATGCGTGTCATAAAGCCGCTTGGCGGTTTTTTTTGGACAATAGTAGCACCATAAAAGCGGTTCTAGTAAAATCGAAACAAGATGTTTCAAAAAACTTACAAGTTTTAGTAATTTTACAACGATTAATTTGATAAATCGGTAAATAGTGATATTATTTGGGAACAGGCTTATAGAATTCATTAATTAATTTATGAAAAATAACTAAATGCCATAAATAGTAAAATATAGATATTATTTGAGATGATCGAAATTTAGACAAAAAAATGTTTCAAATCACTGCAAGGTTTCATAATTTTGGGTTATAGCCAGGGTTGGTCACAAAGGATCCGGTCCGCGGACGGTCCGCGGTCCGGTCCGGTCCGGATCGGTCCGAGTGGATCCGAGAATTTCGGACCGGACCGGACCGGACCGGACCGGACCGGTCCGGTCCGGGCTGAACGCAAAAGGACATGATTCAGGAGCCACATATGGAAAATTCTGTATGCAAAATACTACTCTCCAAGAATTTGACATATTTTTCCACATCTATGCTACTATCCGTCGCGTATATCGCCAAAAAGTAATGGGGAATGAATAATTTTATACATTTTTGTTTAAGAGATCCACATTGCGTCATTTTTTCGTACGCCACTCATTTGCAATCCGAATTTGCATGTTGCATTTACGTTTCTCCTAGCAAATCAAAGCCCCTCGGTCCGCCACGGACCGGACAGGTCCCGGTCCGGTCCGGTCCGGTCCGGTCCGGATGAAAAATTCGGACCGGACCGGACCGGACCGACCCCCGGACCGGACCGGATCCGATTAGGATCCAGCGTGACCAACCCTGGTTATAGCAATTAAACCGTGCCGTTTGAGTTAAAATCCGTAAAACTAACACCGGAAATTGTCGTCTTTAATTGCCTACCGTACCCCCCATTTTTTTTAGCTGAAAAACGTGGCGAACACGCCGTGCCTCTACAACACTGTGGTGCTGATCACCAATCGACTTTTCAATTATCAGTCCGGGCTGAATAAGGTATTTTTATAGATTTTAATTCAATTTTTTAAATTTGCTGTTAAAAATAGATTAAATATTCATTTAGCTAGACTTTTAATTCCTTTTTATTTTTGTAGGTTTCATTAAAGTTAGTTGTTTTCAATATATATTTTAGCGAATCAAGCATTGAATTATCGATTTAAATTCCGAGTTTTAAATTTTCATGTTTTAAGTAATTTCTTACAAGGGAAGTGCACGACCGGCCCACGAGAAATCGTCACAAGACATAGTGGATCTGATAGAATCGGACACGGGGATTCTGAATCTGTAATCAGAATTTGCTAAATAAAACGGAGAAAAAAGTTATGAAGCTTCAAAGTTGGTAAAATCGCCCAAAATCGGACTTTTATGGGCCTGTAAAGGCTCAGGGAATGGAAATTTGCCACAACCCATTAGTGCATCTTGTTCAGCAGAAAACGCGCTTTCGAATGAGCTATCTTACTACAGGTTTCCGATGATTTCGCGAAAATCTCTTCTATGAACTTGACAGGCCATACCCTTGCCCGTGAATCCAAAAAAAAAACTTTTTTCAGTGAATTGTTTGAAAACGCTACGTATTACAGCTCATTCGAAAGCGTTTTTTTTGCTGAACAAGATGCACTAATTCTTTTCTCCTCAATTCCGTTCCCCCGGTTTTTACGGGCCCTTAAAGGTACCGTTTTTGGCGATTTGGCCAACTTTGAAGCTTCATAACTTTTTTCTCCGTTTTATTTAGCAAATTCTGATTACAGATTCGGAATCCCCGTGTCCGATTCTATCAGATCCACTATGTCTCGTGTCGATTTCTCGTGGGCCGGTCGTGCACTTCCCTTGTTAGTCATTTTTTATTTTTGTTAAGTAATTTTTTTATCCATTTTTAGTTGAAGTAATCCTAGTTTTTTGAAAATTAGCCTAGTTTTTAGGGTCTTTATTAATTAAAAACATTACCATTGTTTTTCAGGATTTCCCCTACGTCCCCGACGAGGGCTGCATCACGTTTTCGGTGATTTTGCTTGGGAGACCAGGTAAATTCGCTTCGGGCCGTAACAAAAAAATGTTTCAAAAATTCTTAAAAATTCGATTTTACAATACTTAGTCATTGTGTAGTCGCGCAAATTCAATCCTCAAATTTTAACATATTTTTTTTCAAATTCATTAATTAATTAAATTTCAATGTTACAACAATGTAGAAAACGACACATTTTTTGTCTTGTTTAATGTTAGAGGCACCATTATGACATATTTTTTCTTCGGATACAATTTTTCGAAAATAAATAGCGGAGCGTGTTTTTAAATGTTGTTTTCTTATTATCACTAAACGAAAACTTACCAAATTTTCACTAAAAAATACAAAAAATATCGATTTTCGGCCAAAAATCGTCGTTTACTAAAATTTCGACTTTTTAAAAACAGTTTAAAACTTTTTAGATAGTTTTACTAGTTAAAATATATTCATTATACTCGAATTATTATCAAAATACTTCCTATTAATTTTTTACTAGACATTTCTAAACTTACACAAAAAAGTTTTCTTCCCCTTGATAATGCCAGAGAACCATTATCCTCCAAAATTTGTTATTTAGAACCAAATTTCTATGTAAATTTTGTATTAATTATATTATGTATTTCATTATATAATCTCATAAAGTTTCCTAAGACCTAGGGCGACCTAAAATTTTCATGTAGACATCCCGAACGAGGACTTCGAGAAGCAGTACGCCAATTTGTCTACAAAACTGCTGCAAGTGAACAATATTTCGTGCATCTACGAGATTGCCGTGGGTTTATACAATTTTTATTAATGATAATTTATTTATTATTGCCGTCATTTTTTGGAAGGAAACGCCCTTAGCCATTACATTAGCCCAACCAAAAAATGCTAATATTTCAAATGTGATGAAACTCATTTTTATAAAAATTTTGAATTTAGGTTTTTCGAGCCATTCATTTAGCTGAAAACTTGCTTATTTTAATTAGAATTTATTTATTTCTGTGGATTTTAAATTTGGTTTTTTTATAGATTTTCACTAACGAATATTATTGTAGTATTCCTATATTTCCTTCTTTTGTTATGGGTGAGAAAAACGATGAATTAAGCCCGGCGAAAAATGCTGGTATTTGATATCTCCTGAAACTAATTTTTATAAAAAACTTGACTAAGTTTTCGGGTGATTTATTTAGCTCAAAACCTGCCAACTTTAATTAAAAAAAATCCTGATTTTTCAAAGTTTTAACTTTGTTATATAACCTCAACACCAGGGTTGAAAAGCCGCTTCGCGACTTTTCAACCCTGGCCCCGTCTGACCCCCTCTTTATCCTTCACTTTGCATAATTGTCCTAAATTGGGATGACAAAAAATAATGAAAAACGCCCTCTTCGCCCCTTTATATAGTCGACTCCCCACTTCCGGTCTATGCTAATTATTCCTAACAAAGAAGTGTTCACAAAAACTTAAATTTAATGTCGAAAACAGCTAATTTTGTAAAATCTGATATGTGTGCAGTCATCCCAAGACCATTGCGCACCTAATGACGTATCATACGTACCTTAAAATTCATCCCCTACCGAGATATCCTCCGGACAGACAGACGGAAGTGGATGCAAAGTGGCACACACACACACACACACAAACACTATTTTTTTATATATAGTAGGATGCCATTTTTAATTCAAAAATTTCGCAATGCGTAATTCATCGTAGTCACTTAAAATTATTATTCTGATCAACCCACTCGTCACGGTGCAATTTTCTGAAACATCTGAAACAAACGAAAACTAATTTTTTAACTTTGGAACCTGCATTAAAAATCCTCTTTAATAGCGCTAAAATACCTTTAATATAACGATTATTTTCGATTAATCAAAAATTATATAGACAATTTTCAGCACTGCATTCCCCCTTGCGGGAACGTTTCCCTGAATCAGTGTTACGACAACGCCAATTGGTCGTGCCCGTATCCGTCGCTGGCCCCGCCCACAACAAGGAGGACCGTGGCGACAACTACGGCGCATACGGTAGCCATTTTCTCAAGGAATCTCTGCTAGCTTGCCTTTTCTTCGCATTTTTATCAACAAACGGACTTGACAAGCATTAGATTAGCAGTTTCGTTCCGCAAGTGTAACTTTCCTGAAACATGCATTTCCTTAAAAAGGCTGAGCTTGCGAAAAGTTAATTTTAGCATCACCGTCCCTTTAAAAAAGCACTATATGTAGAGGCCTAGTCTACTCGCTGTCTTTTTATTATTTTTGTTCATTATCCTCGGAATGATTAAGGTTTGAAAAAATTTCAGTTTATGCCGAATTTATGACACATTCTTTTTTCAAAAAATAGAAAAACCATCTATGTCGAGAACTGGGACTTTTTCAAAGAACCCCTGCTAGCCTGCTCGCTCCTCGCACTTTTATTTAATTACACAACACAGTGATTAGCGCTACCAGAAAAATTCGGTTTGGGTAGTTTTTACAAAACACATTTTTTCGACAAATTTCGCCATAGAGAAAATTAATTTTCGCGTCACCCTCCCATTAAAAATAGATAGTTACCAGGGTTGAAAAGCCGCTTCGCGACTTTTCAACCCTGGCCCCGTCTGATCCCATGATATTCGTCACTTTGCATAATTCTCGCGCTTTTCTAATGAAAAAAATGAGAAACGCCCGCTCTCTGCGCCATTATATAGGCTACCGCAACTTCCGGCGTATGCTAATTATTGCCTAACAAAGTGGGTTCTCAATTTTTCAACAAAAAGCTTAATTTGAACTTCGAAAACAGCGAATTTTTGGTAATTTTATGAGTGTGCAGTCATCTCCAGGCCATTGCGCACCTAATGACGTATAAAACATACCGCTAAATATCCCCCTTATTGAGATACTGCTGGAACACGCTGACGGAAGTTGCATGCAAATGCACACACATACATACACACACACAGGAACTATTTTTTTATATATAGTAGGATTGCTATCAAAGAGCCTAGGCTGCCTCCCCTCTTTTTTTATGACGCAAAACTGTGACGACGATTTTATGATGACTTTTATTTTTCAAGGAAGGCATCAAGCTAGATGAATTCCGGTCACTTCGCCTAAATCCGTTTCGCCTAAACCCATATCGCCTAAAACCCATTTCGCCTAAAACCCGTTTCGCCTAAACCCATATGCCTAAAACCCATTTCGCCTAAAACCCGTTTCGCCTAAAACCCGTTTAGCCTAAAACCCGTTTCGCCTAAACCCATTTCGTCTAAAACCCATTTCGCCTAAACCCATTTCGGCTAAATTTTGGTTATTTTCATATATAAGTTTTTGACCAACAAGTCGGCAATTTTCGAAAGCTTTATAATAGTTTCGCAAGATTTTAAAGAGACCCCTTGAAATTCTTCATGAAAGCTATGTAATTGGCTTCATAACGTGGTTTTTGACAAGGAATTTGCAAAATTATGGTAAGAAAATCCTAAAACACTTACAAGTATTTCGAAAAATGGTGCTTTTTTGGTCAAAAATGCAGCAGTGCAAACGGTCAATAATTAAGGCCAAATGGGTTTGGGCGAAACGGGTTTTAGGCGATATGGGCTTTAGGCGAAATGGGATTTAGTCGAAGTGGGCTTTAGGCAAACGGGTTTTAGGCGGAAACGGGTTTAGGCGAAACGGGTTTTAGGCGATATGGGCTTTAGGCGAAATGGGATTTAGGCGAAGTGGGCTTTAGGCGAAACGGGTTTTAGGCGATATGGGCTTTAGGCGAAATGGGATTTAGTCGAAGTGGGCTTTAGGCAAACGGGTTTTAGGCGAAACGGGTTTTAGGCGAAACGGGTTTTAGGCGATATGGGCTTTAGGCGAAATGGGATTTAGGCGAAGTGGGCTTTAGGCGAAACGGGTTTTAGGCGATATGGGCTTTAGGCGAAATGGGATTTAGGCGAAACGGGTTTTAGGCAAAACGGGTTTTAGGCGATATGGGTTTAGGCGAAACGGATTTAGGCGAACTGGCCGTAACCCAGCTAGATTAGTGGTGCAGAAAAACGCCGACCTGCGTAATTTTGCGGAACATTTGTTTTCAAAAAAAAAACCGGCCTTTACGCAAGTCACAGGCTCAGTGTCACCAACCCTTTAAAACCAAAATTTACTTTCTCAAAGAATCTCTGCGAGAATGCCCCTTCTTTTTCATTTTATGTCGAAGCACTCGTTGACTAATTGCTCCGGAAAAAATTGGCCTTCGGTAGTTTTTCTGAAACATCATATTTTTCGAAAAAAGACGGGCTTTACGCGAGTCAAGCTCGATGTCACCATCCCTTTAATATGAAGATTATTTTGCGTTAGAAATTTTTTTCTTTCTAGCCTGTTCGCTTTTCGCACTTTTATTTAATTATCGACACAAAAATCATTTTTCGATTCGATACGTAAATATCTCCACTTGGGTAATTTTTACTAAACAGATGTTTTGAATAAAATTTACCTCCGCAAGGAGCAAATTTTGGTGTCATCATCCCTTTAAATCAAGGTTATTTTGTGTTCTAAATGTTTTTTTGCTAGCCTTTCCCCTTTTCGCACTTTTATTTCATTACCGACACAATCGTTATTTGATTCGATCTTTAAAATATCTCTGCTTGGGTAATTTTTACGAAACGTAATTTTTTGTCAAAAAAAATCCCCTGCAAGAAGTAAAAGAAGTGTCACAATCCCTTTGAAAAATAAAGAGATATTTCTGTCGAAGAACCTCTGCTAGCCTGCCCTTTTTTGTTTTCTGATATGTTTCGATTAATGTCGCAGGAAAAATTGGGTTTGGGTAATTTTTACGAAACACATTTTTTTTGAAAAAAAAATTACTTCCGCAAGGAGTTAATTTTTGGTGTCACCACCCCTTTAAAAACCACTTTATATATATTTAGGTAAGCCCCACATCAGAATACGGTGGCGATTGGGAGCATATCGTCTACCTCTTCGCCCTTTCCAACAATACGAACAAAACCGAATTCTCGAATGCGCTCTATTTTGTGGAGACGCCGCTGGCCGATTGCTTGGTGAGTTAAGGCGGTTTAAAGGGCACGTTAAGGGACGTTTTTTTTTGGAAAAAAGCAAAGATTTTCGCCGCGGCGAGGGTCGAACCCGGGCCCCCCGCTCGGGAAGCGCGGATGCATACCAGTCAGCCACAGCTACAACCTGGCGAGGGGTCGAGGGGCGCCCCACGCCGCAAAGGAGGGGAATGGCCTGTCACCGCACGGGCTGGCAGTGCGCGCGGTCCCAACGTCCATAGGGTGTACGCGTTGGGACGAGGACACGGCCCCTCCCTGAACGTGCGCTTTAACGCGGTTTTAACGGCCTTTATTAACAATCTTTTAGAGCCGCTTCAACCTGGTGGCCCGATTTTTGGCGGTGAACGACACCGACAGCGGCTGGTTGCACGACATCGAGTCGGTAGGCAAATAAAAACCATAAATTTTTATTTCTGCAAAATGTTGCTAAAAAATGATGTATCACAAATTTCTGTGCTATTATCAGTTGTGTAAATCGGAATTTTGCATATGCGGCACGCCATTCAATTAAATTAATCAATTAATACCCTAGAAATCAAATTTTTCAGATCCAAGCCTTTCTCGTCGGCCTGAAGCACGAGGAGATCATCCTTCCGGCGAGTCGGTTTTTTAAAAAAGGATTTTGTTTAATAGTTTATAATGCAAATTTCCGGTTAGTCTAAAACGAATTTTAAAGTTTTTGTTTCTGGAAAATTTAGTGAGAGTGCAACGGTCGGAAATTTTTGTAATTACTGATTTTTCGTGCTGTTATGCTGCAGAACGGACGATTAATAACGTTTTCATTGCGAATTCGTCTTATTTCTGGGAAACATTGATTTTTTTCGCATTTTTTATGAGGTTTCCAAATCATTCTTCTCGTTTAACGGGTGGAGGGGATAATTTTTATTTTTCCACAAAACCCTATACATAATATTTTGTGTAATTTTATAGGCTCTTTAATAGTTTTCCACCTCCAAAAGTCATCAAAAAAATCAAGAAGATTTAAAAATTTTTAGCTTTTTTTGCCAAAAAAAAAACAAAAAAATCTTCGAGAATTTGTCTTTACGCTTTTTATAAACTTTCTATATCTAGAAGCTGTGGAAAATTCCATAAAATAAAATATAGTATAAAAATAAAATCCTAAATTTGTATTTAGTTATGGCTGTATGGAATTACTAAGAAATCCCCCCCCCGTTAAGCGAAAAGAACCTGCATTTTAAATTTTTTATCGATTTGATTCATTTTTCTTGTTAATTTTTAATTTTAGAAGTTGTAAACGATACGGAAGAGCGGCATACGGAGGATTTGGTGGTGAGGGCCTATGGGAGTCTCGTCAATGAAGGCGAGAGCAAATGGGGACCCCGAGTCATTCTGATGACCGATTTTGTGTCCTGGGTGAGCTTTTAATAATTTTATTAAATTTTATGCATTTTAACTTTACAAGATTTGTTAATTTTAAAGGGTCTCGGCAACACAGAAAATTAGGAGAACAAGCGCAAGCCGGAAAAAACAACGTTTCAAAATTGTGTTAGGGCGACTTTTTTAATCCTACTATCCTACTATATATAAAAAAAATAGTTCCTGTGTGTGTGTGTATGTATGTATGTGTGTGCATTTGCATGCAACTTCCGTCAGCGTGTTCCAGCAGTATCTCAATAAGGGGAGTAGTTAGGGGTATTTTTTATACGTCATTAGGTGCGTAATGGCCTTGGGGTGACTGCACACTCATAAAATTTTCAAAAATTCGCTGTTTTCGACGTTAAAATTAAGCTTTTGTTGGAAAAATCGGACAACCTCTTTGTTAGGAAAAATTAGCATATTCCGGAAGTTGCGGTAGCTTATAGAAGAGAAGAGAGCTGGCGTTTCTCATTTTTTTTGTCATAGAAAATCGCGAGAGTTATGCAAAGTGGAGAATATCATGGGATCAGACGGGGCCAGGGTTGAAAAGTCGCGAAGCGGCTTTTCAACCCTGGTATATATAAAAAAATAGTGTCTGTGTGTGTGTGTGTGTATGACACTTTGCATGCAATTTCCGTCAGCGTGTCCGGAGGATATCTCAAGAGGGAAGGGGCGTAAGGAGGCGTTTGATACGTCATTAGATGCGTAATGGGCTGTAGATGACTGCGCACACATCAGATTTTGTAAAATATGTTGTTGTCGACATTAAAATTAAGTTTTTCATAAAAATTCGACCGCCCACTTTGTTAGGAGAAAATTAGCATACGCCGGAAGTTGCAGTAGCCTATATAAAGGCCCAAAGGGCTCATTTTTCATTTTTTTTGTCATCGGAATTGAGCACAATTATGCAAAATAAAGAACACCACAGGATTAGACGGGGGCCAGGGTTGAAAAGTCGCGAAGCGGCTTTTCAACCCTGGTAAATGAGTTAATTTTCCATTCGTTAATTTCGTTCTTTCCTAGCTTTAAAATGGCGCTGGGCATGCTAGCAAAAACCATTTGGGAAAAATTTTCCTTTCCAGACTCGAGATTTTAAAATTAAATGTTTCCCATATCACTATTGTTCAAAAACAATTTCTCTCTGCAATCAAAAGTTGCAATGAAGATGAAAATATCTATCGCTAGTTTTGTTTTTTGATTTTATGCATTTTTCGATTTCAAAAATAGATTAGCGGATTTATTTTCGACTTAAACAAAATGTTTCACGTATCCTGCGGGCTCAAAAACTGTTTTAGTGTCCAATCAAAGTCTCAACCCGGCCTCCACCAAGCCTAAGCCAAGCCTAATTCCAGAACTTCATCGATGCCTACCGGGCCTCGGCCCCGTCGGCCGCCTTCAAATGGCTGCAGCAGCACGCCAACTTCGAAGTGTACGCCTTCAGCATGGTGGGTTTTGGAATTTTTGCTAGCTGTGAAATTATTTTTAAATGAATTAGGTTTTTACTAATAAAAAATTAAATGGTTTTGTAATAGTTACCATCATAATTTTAAAGCTGCATTTAAAAAATCCAAACAAAAATAAAAAATTACTATTATCGCTTGATTTTTGTTTTTTACTATTAGTCAAATTTTCTTAATGGTAAAAGATTCGTTTGAAACATCCAGGTTTTACGCTAATTCATAATTCCAGGCGGTGCAGAAGATCTACGAGGCGGAGACGACGATCCCCGCCCGGAACCTGTTCGTCGACGACGGTTTCAGCAAGGCGGAGGGCCCCACCGACATTTGCCCGCCAAAGGGTACGGTAAAATATTCAATTTATTTATTGCTTAATTTAATTTAATTAATTGATTTAAATAAATGTTTAATTTGAACTTTTTGATTTATTTTAGCAGCGTGGTGCTGAAACAAATTATGGCGGTAAAAACTTTTGGATTTTTAAAGGATTCCGAAACATATTTTTATTAAATTTTTGTTTTATTAATTAAGGTGATGAATATTTCCTATTAATATTTCCGAAATTGCCGCTGCTGGCTTGCTTTCCACAACACTAATTACGCCTATTATCACTCGCAAAAATTTCACAACTGTGAAGTTTTTACGAAACACAATTTTTTTTAAAGCGATTACATGAATTTTAACCATTGTTGCTAAAGAAATTGTTTTCCCAACACCATAACTGGTAATATTATCGCTCACAAAAAGTTTGCAACTTTGAAGTTTTTAAAAACACATTTTTTCAATAATTTTAATAATTGACTAATGTTAAGAATTGATTCTTAAGAAATTCGTATTGACTTTTGATTGAAGTCAGCATTTACAATTGTTTTTAGTTGGTAAATCCTTGCGATCGAACACGTTGGGCAACGCATTTATGATCTAAAGATCAGGCCCGGTGCTTTCGGATTTTGCCGGTTTTTGCTGGCAATTGATAAACACTGGTTTTTCGAATTTTTATATTCTAAATGGAGAAGCGTTTATAGACTGTTTTTTGCTTTTCTTAAACATACCAACTTTACAAATTTCGATTAAAAATACATAAAATGCCGGTTTTGCGACTTGCGAATCCTCGTATTGATTAAACTTTAAATCGGCCCATTTGAAAAATCGATAAACCTCGCTTTTTTGCAGACAAATCGACGGGGATGCCGAGCACAACGATATGGATGATCATCATTGGCGTGTCGTTTGGTGGGTCGATAATTTTTGCAAACGTTTTATGAAATTTTGACCTATCTAGAGGCCCATTTTAAATCATGGAAATTAAAAACCCGGGAATATTTTAAGTTTGACAGTTTTTAAAAAAACCCTTCAAATTTTTTTGGGCTCAAAAGTACCTTCGCGCGCTAAGCTATTCTTTACACTAACGAAACAAAAAAATTATTTTTTTCGAGCTTGATGAAACACAGGTTTTGCCAAGTTTTGAGATGCATTTTTATTTTTTAAGTAATTTTTTCAATTCTTTGTGATTTTCATTCATAACCCAATTTAAAAGTGCGAAATCCGTATTAAAATTGGGGTTTAAAACATTTCAAACAATCGTACACAAGATTTTCTGAAAAACCATGTTTCAAAACTTTTCTTACTTTATCGATTTCGTGAAATTCAATAGTACTTGCGGTGTTTCTCCTTATTTAATTTAGCTTTTCAAAAAAGTATGAAATGTCTAATCAAAAAATTGGCAGGGGGCATTATGGCAACCAAAAATTATCGTCATCTTGATTTTTTTGAAACAGGGTTTTTCAAGGCAGCCAAAAACCTGAATTTCAAGGGGTGATCCTCGGCGTCCTCCTTGACGAATTCCTCGATGTTTCTGTGAGAAAAATTGCTTAAAACCCCTATTTATGTATTGTTCAAATTCTAGGCCCTAAATAGGCGACGGATTGAGCGCGTTTTTAATTTAATTACACACAAAGAAATTCATAAATTGCCGACTGGCGAGTGACTTAATTTTTGCGAAACATCATTTTCCAGAAAATTTTTTTTATGAAACCTTGTTTTGGCACACCCATTCGCAGTTAAAAAATGGGTATCGGCTAGTTTTTACGAGAATAGACAAAAATTCCCTGGGAAATCGCCTCCTCCTCTCCTGTTATTAGTAACTAGAAAGCCGTAGTTATCGCCTAGGTTTAACGAAAAATTATTTTCAGAAAAAATTTTAAAAGTACGTTTAATTTAATTACCCACAGTGAATTATTCAATGAAAAACTGGCCGAAGACCTTAGGTTTATAAAACCTTCTTTTTTGAGACTTGTATTTTTCACGTGGCTGAGTTTTGAAAATAAAACGTTCTAAATCTGTAGGCCTGTCTTGTAGGCCTGATGATAATCTTGTTGGTGTGCACGGTGGTGTACCGGCAGAAGTTGATGTGGATGCAGAAGTTGTACCTGTTCAAAAATAAGGACGGAGACGAGGAGATGGAGGAGGACGGGAAAACGGAAGCCGCCAACAATGATGATGATATGTGAGTTTTTAAAGGGACAGGGAAGGCAAAAAATTTCGGACCTTGTATTTTTCGCGCCGCGACACGCGACGCGCACGCCCGCATTTGCATCGCGTAATCGATTACGGGCTGCTAAAACGCGAGGCCGAGCAGCGCGTGCGCGTTGCGTGTCGCGGCGCTAGAAAAAAGGGCGCCAGGAAATGTAGCTATCAATTTCCGGACCGCAACACGCAACGCGCCCGCGCCGCCTGGCCGCGGTCCCAATTTTACGGCAAATACTAATCCATGACGCAAACGAAGAGTTGTGGGCATTGCGCGTCGCGGCGCGGCTGAATTTCTTCACGAATCACAATTTGCCCCCTCGAAAAAATGTGTTTTCCAAAATATTCTAAACCTGAACCACTTTCTGATTTCAGTCAGTCACACGTGCCTTCCATTTATTAATTTACTGCAATACCGTGCAATTGAATATATATAATTTTATAGCGTCATTATTTAAGTAATTAAAGATTCAAAGACACTTGGCGTTATCTTAATTATTAGCTTATGGCCAAAAAAAACATGTTTTGGCAAAAATAGGGAGCCGACTCTGAAAAGGGGGGTTAATGCAGGCATGACCCTCCTGACAAAAATACCGAAATCCAATTTTCTGAAAGTGTTTTTTAGTAGCAAAAATGTGTATCAAGGTACTATAGACATTAACTACGAGTCTGCCGAGAAAAAATCGAAAACCGCAAAAAAATTGAAAATTTTATTGATTTTTTTGTTAGTTACGAAAATTTGATATTAGTTATGATTTTCTGTGAAATCGCTGAAATACAAAACGTGTTTCAAAAAAATTAGATACCTAATTTGGGGCGACTGCATTTAATAAACAGTTTTGGCAACGCCACCATATCTTTAATCCAATATAACGTATTTTAAAAATAAAATAACCGAATATAAAATATAAAGATCAAACAATTACATAATCAAGAATTGAAAAATCGTGATCAATATTTGTAGATATAATTAAAGGAATTTTTTGCAGCATCGACTACTGGGAAATCTCGTGGGATCGGCTGATCGTCAGCTCGGAAAAGCTGGGCCACGGCGCCTACGGGCTGGTGTATAAAGGTGCGTTACGTAACCTAAAATTGTTTATTTATTTTATTTTTTTTAATTATGATTATTAATCGTAACAATTATATTTGCCGAAATCCGGAGGAAAGGAATTATTTTGAAAAGCCATTGCTTAACATCGACGGGCAATGAAACATCAAAAAATTTTGGGAAGCTAAAAATCTAGAATTTGGAAACGAGGCAGGCTAGCAGAGATCATTTGTGGAAATAACTCCTAATTTGCATAGGTTTAGGCAAAATTTAGATAAAGGGTGAGACCCGTAGCCTGGAGTCGTTTTCAATTTCATTACCTGATTTATCGCTTTTATTCCTGACAATTATATTTGCCTAGAAGCACCCGACGAGAAATTATTTTGAAAGGCGATTGTGAACATGATCCGGCAACGGAACATCAAAAAAATCCGAATTGACAAATCTGGAATTCAGAAACGAGGCAGGCTAGCAGAGATCATTTGCGGAAATACCTTCTAATGTGCATATATATATATATATATATATATTAAATATAAAAAGTTAGTTCCAAGCCTGCGGAAAGCAGCGGAAATTTGCGGTTAAACTTAGTTTGTTTGGGTGTCGTTTAAACTTAGTTCGTTTGTTATGTGTGTGTTTAATTAAATTGTTTTGCAACAAACGTAAAAATTATTGATTTTGAGATGTTAGGAATCCGATCTGCTGATTACTACAAAACTAAATTAACGACCTGATGTGCATTGCTAAAACATATTTTTCGCAAAAAATATGGGGTACTTTGCAGGGGTCTGATTATCTGGTAAAAATTTTGTTGTTAATATTTATGCGCTGCAACTCATTTTTTTAAGCCGGCAGCTAGCAGTAGATCATTTCCTCAAAAACGGCTAATCAAAATCTAATTTAAATAAGATTCAATTTATTTTGGAGAAGAATTTCTCGAAAATGAATGCTGATTCGAATACGGTCTTATCACTTCGCTCGGCCGATCACTTCGAAAAAATAATATTTTTTGCAAAAAATAATTGAAAAACAGAGACCCTTGCGGAACTATTTTTGCAAAAGTGCCACCCCAATTTGAAAGTATATTTTACTCTAGTTTTCGCAGAAAGTAAATGTTAAAATTATTGATTCTGATGAACTTCCAATTATTACAAAATGAACTAACGACTGACTACGCATTGCTAAAACACATTTTCTGCACAAAAACCCATGGGGTAATTAGCAGAGGCCAGTTGTACAAAAGGTAGTTACGAATTAGGGACGGCTGGAAAGTCCTGGTTTTTATGCAGATACTTTTCCATTGTTGATTAAATGAAAAAACCTTCTCGTATCCATTTATTCGCTGCAACACATTTTTTGAAGAAAAAACCGGCAGCTAGCAGGGATCATTCGCGGAAAAAGCTCTTCATTAAGTTTTTGGGGAAAAAGCGCCACCCTAGTTTTACAGTATATTTAACTTTAATTTTCGCTGACAGTAAATGTTAAGATTATTGGTTTTAATGGTCCTGTAGATACCTGATTACCACGAAATAAATTCGCGACCGAGTGCTCATTGCCAAAACATTTTTTCTCCCCAAAAAATTGTGGGCAAGCAAGCAGAGGCCATTTGCCGACAAATATTAGGATTAAACATATAGAAAGGGCCGTTTGATCTTCTTGGAGAAAAATTTCTTCAATATCGGAATTCAAAAACGTTGAAAACAACCTATTTTTTTCAAAAAACTTTTGGGTAGAAGAGACCCTTGTCAAACTATTTTTTTGCAAAACGCTGCCCTAATGTAAATATTAAAATTATTGAACTCATGGACCCCTATTCATTACCACAAAAATAAATTCACGACTGAGTGCTCATTGCCAAAACATTTTTTCTCCCCAAAAAATTGTAGGCAAGCAAGCAGAGGCCATTTGCGGAAAAATATTAGGATTTAAACATACAGGAAAAACCGTCGTTTCATCAAATATATGGGCTTTTCTGATGATTACGGGACCAAAAACCCGTCGCATCGGCTTTCTGGTCAAAACACACTTTTTCGCCCGAGAGAAACTGATGGCTAGTAGAGTCCATTGGTGGGAAATTTATAAACTCGTTAATATAAAAAATTCTATAGCAAATTTTGACTTAAACACCAAGAAATCCCGAATAAATACTCAATACATTACAGGAAAAATGCTGGGCCAATCGCCGGGCCTCGAACACTACTACCCCCATGAGGCGGCCAATTTTCGGTAATTCAAATTTAATATAATAACTTTTAATTTAATTTATCTATTTTTGTTAAAATATATATTATTATAAGCCTTAATCTATTTAGTTTTAATCCTATTTAATTCAGGGACTGCGACGTGGCCGTGAAAATCATCCAGAAGCACGCGTCCGAAAAGGAGCTCCAAATGTTCCTCCACGAGATCGACATGGTAATTGGGTTATTTTAAGGATTATTTAACGAAAAGTTTAAAAGATTGATTTTTGTACGCTAATATTCTAAATTCTAAAAATAATTAAAAATTAAGTTAATCGCTTTTTCGACATTTTAATGTTTCAAAAAAGTCAGCAATACGGGTGTTTTCACCTAAACTTAATTCAACCTTTTTTCTTATTGATTATTTTGCCAGATTGTTATTATTTATCCATTAGTATATCATTAATGGAATTATTCACGCATAATTAACGAGATCACGATTTTTGCGAGTTTTTCTAAAAAATTTTTATCTTTCAAAAAGCTCTAAATGCGTCCGGCGTTGACTTGCGTAATTAATCAATACTTGCGGGCAAATCAGCTATGAAAAACGATGGCCAAATTATTCAAAATCCAATTGACGCTCAAAAATTATAAAAATTCTTTCACGAATTAAACATTACATGTTTTAAAAATTCAGAAGAACCGGCTGGTGCTAGCTTCCCTAATTTGGTGCCCGCCGCTGTTGGCTAGTAGTTTGGGCTGTAAATCTGTACTGAAATATCTAGATTATAGCTATCAATTTTTAATGAACATAAAAATTGGCAAGGCATTCAAAAATCAGATAAAGAATCCACGATAAATACTTTAAAATTACGATTTTTCCACAATTTCGCCTTTGAAAAACGACAAAATTAGGCCGTTAATTTTGTGAATTGGAGCGGTGCATGCCATTCAGTTTTGATAATGCTAAACAAAAATAATTTAAGATGTGATTTGCGCTAAAGCACTTCATAAAATTACCCCATTTCTCCAAGATTTTTGTGAGAAATTTCTATGTTTCAGAAAAATCTCAAACCACGGCACCTGACCGCTTCCGTAATCCCTCGGACATAGTCGCTAGTAGTTGCGTGGTAAATCTTGCAGAAAAAAAAAATTTAAATAACAATTAGGCGATTCTGAGTGACCTCCAAATTTGCAAAAAACAAGATAAATGAATTAAATTAAAAATTGTAAAATTTCTAGATTTCATCACTTCGGCTTAAAATTTTGATGTTTTAAATAACTTTAAAGTTCGGCTGATGTTAACTCCGCCATTTCCATCGTAGTAGTATCCTCAAAAACCTCGCGTATAGTTCTGGTACAATTTGGTTACGTACGGATACTACTGACACCAAATAATGTGCGTAGGGGGCAATTCGCCGCAAAAGCTATATCCACTTAAAATATTGGGAATAGTCGAAATGCGATCAATAATTCAAACGAAATCGCGAAAATTCCACTGGCCAACCGAGATATTTGCAAAAACGCGAAAAAACGAAACACACCAATTTACGGTCATGCGGAATTACGGAAAATTCGAATTTTCACCCGGAACTATACACGAGGTTTTAGGGTAGTAGTAGTAATTTACAATCAGCTGCAAGCTTGAAAAACCAGACAAATATATGCATGATAATAGATTTTAAAATGGCGATTTCAAAACTCAATTTCAACTTCAAAAATTGATAAAGTCGGCTGGTGTTAAGGCCGCTAAGGGGAGGGGGCATGCTAATCAATTTTAGTAAAAAATAATAAAAAAATCATTTAAAAATGAAATCTGAGCTTAAACAGGTCATAAAATTTCCCTATTCACCATTTTTATGTTTCAAAAATCAACAGAATTCGGCTGGTGCCAACTCCCGTAATTCTTCTTCTGTCTGCCCAGAAATAAGAGAAATAATCTAAATAAAAGTTTAAATAATAAAGATGTTTAATGAGTACCGAATTTGTAAAACCAGATAAATAAATGCACAATAAAAATTCCAAATTTGCGGTTTTGTCCCAATTTTCCCTGGAATTTCAATGTTTTAAAAATTGACAGAATTCGAACGTTATTAACTTTCGCAATTACAGAATGATGTAGAAATCCCACACGATGCAGAAATTCTTTCAATTGAGACCTAATTTAAAAATAATTTAATAAAAAGTATTGAGCATACACTCTCCAAATCAGCTAAGTTTGAAAAGGCAAGGAGAGATTAATGAATTGTCAGGAGAACAAGAGTAAAATACGAAAATCTCAATATTCTGAAAATTTTAATGTTTCAAAAATGTCGTTCCTTCGCTTAGTTCGATTTAGGGTATTGTAGCCATCCATATGCATCAAGTTAATATTTTTCAGATGAAAACCCTCGGCTTCAACGAGCATCTGGTGAATATGCTGGGATGCAGTACGCAGGTAGGAGAGAGAGAGTGAGAGAGAGGCAGAGAGAAAGAGAGAGAGAGAGCGAGAGAGAGAGCGAGAGAGCGACAGAGAACGGGAGAGTGAGGGCGAGTGAGAGAGAGAGAGCCAGAGAGAGAGAGAGAGAGAGAGAGAGAGAGAGAGAGCGAGATAGGGAGATTCCTAAGTCCTACCGTTTCAATTTTTCGACAAAGGTATACGACTAATTAACGTTAGCATGGATATTCGAGCTCAGTACCCGGCCTGAAACCACTTTTTTTCCCCTCAAATGCAAAAAAAAACAAATTTCCAGGAATCTAAAATTAACTATATAAAACAGTTAATAATAATATTATAGCCCTAAATGTTCAAAATAATCTAAACTAATTAAAAATTTAATCAAATAAAAGTTAATCTTTTAATGTTATTTTGCAAAGAAATAAGACAACAATTTCAATGAAACTCAATTAAACCTGGCCCTCGAATTTGATTAATTAAAGAATGATAGCCGCTCTTTTGAAAATAAGTTTGACTTGATTAAAAATTCATTTTAGACAAAAATTGATTTAAAACTTTCTACAAAAACATAAAACCATAAAATTTTCTATTTTTGTTTATGTGAAAAACACACATTTTTCAGTCGGCTAAACGGTCGTGTTTGGTGCTGGAGTACTGTGCGAATCGCGACTTGAAGAGCTATATTTTGAGGCGGCGCTCCGATTTAGATCAGGTAATCTTCTTCAAAAAAATCGTGTTTCATGGAAACACAATTTCAAAACGTGCGAATTTTGACCAATTCCGCTCTCCAAAATGCCAAAAAATTTCTAGAAATTCCAGAGCCGCTCAATCGACGAGCAAATCGACTGCACCAAGGAGTTTTTGCACTTTGCCTGGCAGGTTGGTTTTCGTGAATTTTTGTATATTTTAATAGATTTATGGTTAAAATTAGCCATAATTACAATTAAATTTAAATTAAAATAATTTTATAATTTCATTAAAACTCTATTTTTAAATTTAATTAAAATCTTAAAATCTATTTATTTTAACACGTTTAATTTCTGGAAAGAAATAAGCGATTTTTAAGTCATGAATTCAATTCAAAATCGTATATATATTTTAAAGCTTGATATTTACTATAGTTAATTTCTTATTCTAATAAACAAAAATCACGTTAGCAAAAATTAGCTTACGAATTAGTTAACAATTAGCCAATTTTCAAATATAAAAATTAGCAAATATACCGACAAAAGTGCCACGGAAAAGGTGTGACCATTAAAATAAAAAGCGAAAAATTTAATCACCAAAAACGAGCAAAAAATACAAAAAAAAACCCGAATAATTCATACAGTAACCAAGTCAAGAAAATGCGGTATCTACAACAGAAATATGACAAAATTGAGCAGGCAGAGGATTTTTAAATTCAAGAAATACCACACCGGGGTGAGGAGCAGCAGGAAGAAGACGCCGCGGACGTAGAATGGCACCAGGCTACGCTCGTATCGATCGATTATCTGAAAAAAGCGATTTATCAACCGTGCTAAATTTTAAAGTTTAAATTTAAACACGCAACGCGTACGCCACGCTCTATACATTCCTCAAAAATCTCTGCTAGCATGCCCGGAATGCCGCGTACGCTACGCCTTTCATTGCGTAATCAAATAAGCTATCGGGGGGATTTGTATTAATCTAGAAACGCCTCTATAATTTAATAGGGAGTAATTTCATAACCTTTTAGTCAATAAAACTAGATTTTAATTATAAAACCATCTAAAAACTTTGAAAATTTTTGAAGAAGTCGAAATTTTGGCCAAAAATCGATACTTTTTGTATTTCTTAATAAAATTTGTAAAGTTTTGACGTCTAGGAATATTAAAAAAAAAACAGTTTAGAAACACTTACATTTACAAAATTTTTTTGACATTTCACAGTTTTCGCTGCCAAAAAAAATGTTTCAAAAATTTGGGGGAAGCAGAGGTGGGGGAGCAGAGATAATGGGAGCCCGGATGGTCAAGGTATGCAAAAAAAATAAACGGCCTGGCACAAATATGGCCGTGGATTAGCTGTAGGCATTGTCGCGCCGCGACACGCAACGCACCATAATAACATACCGTAACCGCTTTTTCGACGAGCTCCTCGCGGCGCCCTGAATTGTCGATGAGCAGCTCGGCGCGAAGTTTTTGCTCTTCGATTGGCATCTGGAAAGCGGGGAAAACTTAGTAAAAAAATACGCAAATTTAAATTAACAAAACCAGCAATCGGTCGATTTATAAAATTTTATTTAATTTAATAACAAAATTAAATTCAAAACGATAATTAGTAAAAATCGATAATTCCTTGAACAAAAAAAACAGGATACTATCCGCCTAGCAGCCATTTTAATAGCTTTTATTTTAATAGCACTGTTTTAGGGATACAAAAGTTTATAAAAATTTAAACTTTCGACATTTTTTTAGAATTTTCGATCAAACAATTACGAAAAATTTCGAAAAAAATAAATTTGTAATTTTTACATTTTCGCATATTTTTAATTTTCTGCGAACCGTTTTTAAAGAGCTAAAAAGAGCACTCACCTGCGCATTAATGCGAGCCCCGGCTTGCTCTCTCGTGCACCCGTCGCGCGCCATCAGCCGCTCCATTTGCTGCCCGGGGCTGCTAAAAAATACAAAATTACAGTCTAAAAATGCGATAAAATCAATCGATAATCAAAAACAACAAATATTACCAATGTACGAGGCATACTGTGGACAGCGGCCACCATTTCCACACGTCCGACTCGAAAAGCAGCGGAATGTCGAGCAGGCAGAGGTTTGCGCCTTGGAATAGGGCTTGGAGGTACTAAAAATAGCGTTTATATCAGCGCAGCGCACCAGCTTTCATTTTTAATGCGCAAAACGTAAGAAAAACCTGTTTAGAAATCTTGAAAACGTGAAAAATCAAGATTTCAAATTTTCGAACCGAAAAAACTATGTTTTACACTCTCTGGGCTATAAAACGGTTTTAAAGCACGCCACTAACTGGCAAACCGCACCGAAATTTAGAGAACTGTAGAATCACAATTAAAAAGTGCTTAACAAAACGGAAAACCTAAAAAATACTAGTAAAAGCGAGCTTACGGGCTGAAAAAATAACTTTATACTTTTCGAAAGATGCTTAAGATTTTAAAACACGCCAACGACGCTATAACACCTCCAAAATTGTGGAAAAATAAAAAAGAAGCTTGAAAAGCTTTAGAAATTTTACAAAAAAAATAGACTTTTTGAAGTTTCTCGGCACAAAAATCAATATCTAGGCCTTTTAATGAAGCTTCTAAGCTTGTAAGATATGTTTCTGCGATTTTAAGACATCCCAAAAGTCCTTTGCTAGCCTGCCAAACGCTCCAACACCTTAAATAACAAAAATCGAACCAAATACCTGTTTCGCGATCTCCCATCGCACCGCCGGGTGCGTGATGGCGTTGAGGCGGCGTCGTTTCTAAAAAAACACATAAAATATAGAAAAGCAATATCAATAAACCTCAACATCCTCGAAAACCACGTCGGCCAACTTTTTGCGCAACAGATTGCCGTGCGCGTCGAAAAAGGCGGGCCCGAACTCGGCGCGTAATCGGGCGTGCGCTGAGGTGCCCGGTTTTACGACTAAAATCAGTTTTTAAAACTAAAAACGTACTTTTAAAAACGATACCTTTTCTCGCGATCACGTCCGCATCGATTACAGGGATCCCGCGCTCTTGGAACACCTAAAAAAGTGTATAAAAACGTCAAAAACTAAGAATAAACCTCGCTGACGGCCGACGTGCCCGACGCGATGCCGCCGGTCAGGAAAATTGTGTGCATACGAGTGGGAGGAAGCCTTAAAAAAGGATTTCATAGCTTTAAAAAGGGTTAAAAATGAAGAATCGACACTTTTAGAAGAGTGATAAAAGTTTAATTGGTAAATAGATAAAAATATCAGAAAAAAACTGTGCCCGACGCGAAAAATACGTGAAACGCAAGTTTTCTATGGATTTAAAAATGTTAAAAAAGACAAGAGTAGAAGACTTTGAAGAAATATAAAAGCTTAATTAATAAAACAGATGAAAATACCATACGAAAAAAGTTTTAAAAAAGTGCTGAAAATTGGAAATTGTCAAAACCTGAAAAAAAATCGGCCAATTAGCTTTCTCGGCTATTCTCGAGAGTTTGCAAATTTTGAAACATCATTAAAAAATTCGCGATTTCGATTAAAAACTATAATAAACGATTATTTTATAGGCTATAAGCTATTTATAAAACATTAAATCCATTTCAAATGTTTGTTTTCAGGTGGCAAGCGGGATGAAATTCCTAGTATCACGTAACGTTATTCACCGAGACCTCGCCGCCCGCAACATCATGATCGATCAGATGAAAAACGCAAAAGTGGGCTTGTTTTAGAGGGTTTAAAAAAATTTGTAACGTTTTAAACTCAATAAAGTAGCTTTTAACAAACTAAATCACTAAAATAAAGAAAATATTATTCTTTAAGCGCTTCGCAACAAAATTTTTAGTGTATTTTCACAAGTAATTATGGTTTTCCACTTTTTTTGGTTTTAGAAGAAAATTTAAAAGTTTAGAAATTGTTTTTAGAAGTAATTATTGGCTATTTATAGTTTTTGGCTTTTAAAACGATTCTTGAGCTTTGGATTAGACAAAAAAATAACGAATAATTATTTATTTGTACTTTTTAGACCTTAAAAACAGTAGCTGTAGTTTATTTTTACAATCAATTATTGCTTAATTCAATTTTTAAACTTTTACGGGCATTCTTTAGCTTGTTTTAGCAATAAGAATCTTTTATTTAAACTTTTTAAGCTTTTTAGAATTATTTTTCTAGATTGGCGATTTTGGGCTGTGCATCGACGCCAACGATCGATCCGTCGATATTAGCGGTCAGTTTTCGAGCTTATTTTAAACGGTTTAATTTAGGAAAACTCCCGATAAAATGGCTGGCCATCGAGTGCCTCGAATCGCACAAATTCTCCAGCAAAAGTGATGTGTGGGTTTTTATGAATTTTTTTTTACTGTATCTGCGAGCTGTAAACGTTTTTTCACGTTTATGGAGATTTTTTGCGGGGATTTTTATAAGATTTTACCATTTACAATTTTAAAAACCATTAAAAAATTTATCTAAAAAATCTCGAGGCAGATCCTGACTGAAACAGAAAGCATTGAATAAACCTTCTCGCGAAGTGAAACATAAAATTTAATTTTTTCAAAAGTAGAAATACCTAGAATCTCAATATTAAGCATTTTCATAGCGTTTTTAGCAAAATGTAACCGGATTTCAAGTGGAAAATTACTTCGAAAAATTTTAAACTGCTTAAAAATTGGAAAAATGGTTTAAAATCTTTGTAGAAAGTAGAGCATTTTGGCCGGAAAATCTATAGTTTTTATTTTTAAGCAAACATTTGTACAGTTTTTACGTTTAGAAATAGTAATAAACTGAAATTGAGCCGAAAATTAAGTCGGAAAAAAATTACAAAACCTCCCAGAAAAGTAAAACATCAATTTTGGAAATTTTGGCGTGCGCAATTTTTGAGAAAATGGGAAGTCTTGGTTTTTGACGTTTAATTACCTCATTAAACATGTAAAATTCTAATAATACTTTTTAGCTGGTCATTCGGTATGGTGCTGTGGGAGATGTACTCGATGGGCGACGCCCCGTTCGTCGACATCGAGCCAACCGCGATTCTCGAGGAGCTGAAATCAGGGCGCCGACCGAAGCGACCGCTTTTGGCGTCGGATAAGCTGTGGGTTTTATTTATATTATAGTCACCATATTACACTAATTAATACAGTAAATTAATTCTCTTATAACCATGAATATTCATTGGTTTTGTTGCGAAAATAAAAATAAATAGAGAAAAAGCTACGAGAAATTTTTCATAGAGGTGTGAAGTGCGAAAAGCGTAATTTTCTAGCCCTAAAAACAATGGAAAAGTATAGAAATCTCGTGAATTATTTAGAGACGAAGTGATGCAACGCTGCTGGCAAGAATACCCGACGTCACGGCCAAGTTTCGACGAGCTGCTGACGATCTTTACGATTTTGTTAGAGCAGGTGGGTTAAAATGGATTTAGAAAATTAAAAATATACAATTTTATATCTACGTAATTAAGTACGTAACATAAACCATTTTCTTGGAATTTTACACAGTTTTTAGATAGGAAAAGCACATAAAACATTATAAAAATTTCGAAATGGTGGCTTTTTGGTCAAAAATGTTTCAAAAATGCTCTAATAATTCAAAAATTTCAAGATTACAACGTTCTCAAGCGGGTTTTTATAACACCCTAGTAATCAAAAAATACTAAAAATACTATAAAACATCGAAAATGAATTTTTAGGCGACCGAGGGCTACGGCTATTTACAGCTAATGTCGAATGAGTTCTACAAAACGTTGCCGCAAGTGGAGGTTGAGGTGAGTTTTTTTTTAATTTAATTTAATACAAAAAATCTGAATTTATTTAAATTAAACAAAAATTCATTTAAACCAATACAAAAAATATTTCGATATTTCGGCAAAATGTTTCAAAAAATTTGAAAACTTCCCGGTGAATTTTCTGCCTATTGTACGAAAATTTCTGTTCTGCATAAAACTATTAAAGGGCAATATAAAAAATTTGAAGGCCGAAGAGGAGCAAGAGATCGAGGAGCTCGAGTCGAGAAGTCGGGCCGCGTCGACGAAATCGGCCAAAATTCATATCCTCGGGAATGTGCTGAATGCGTGGAGGTGGATTAAATTAATTTAATTAAATAAACCTAGAAAAAAGCTTATGAAAACATTTTAATTAATTAAAAATGGCCTTTTAGAGCTGCTGCTCACGGAATCGGGCGTCAACTTTCGAGTGGGAAAGGGATCTACCCAACACCCGATCATCCCAGGATCAATAAAAAGCGGAAATCCGGGACTTTTGGTGAAGGTATGGCTAAAAAATTAAAGAAGGTATTAATCAGCTAGGAATTGGTATCATAATGTCGAAAATCATAATGTCGAAATTTCATAATGTCGAAATGTCATAATGTCGAAAATTACATAGGCTAATTACCGGTGAAACCTCCAAATCCTAGCCAAAAAAATTTTTTCCACATTCTATTTTTTTATCTTATTTCACGACAACATTTTTTGTCTAGAATTCGGGGACTTTACCGGGAATTTTAGCTTATGTAAATTTCGACATTATGACATTTCGACATTATGACATTTCGAAATTATGAAATTTCGACATTATGAAATTTCGACATTATGACATTTCGACATTATGAAATTTCGACCTTATGAAATTTCGACATTATGAATTTCGACATTATGAGTTTCGACATTATGAATTTCGACATTTTGAAAATAAGCCATCAGCGAGATATATAAAATATATAAAACATATCCTACTATATATAAAAAAATAGTGTCTGTGTGTGTGTGCCACTTTGCATCCACTTCCGTCTGTCTGTCCGGAGGATATATCGATAGGGGATGAATTGTACGGTATGTATGATACGTCATTAGGTGCGTAATGGCCTGGAGACGACTGCACGCATATTAGATTCGACAAAATCTCCGATTTTCGACATTAAATTTAACTTTTTGTGAAAACTTCTTTGTTAGGCATAATTAGCATTGACCGGAAGTGGGGATTGGACTATAAGAAAGGATAGGAGAGGTTGTTTTTCATTTTTTGGCATCAGAATTTAGGACAATTATGCAAATCCTACCTTATATAATTTTGGCGCGTATGTGTGTGTGTGTGTGTGGATGTCACTTTCGAGGCCCGATTTGAGGCCCTTCCCGTGCATAAAATGCCCTAATTCTCCGTCACCCGGAGGAATCGACCCTTCTGTTTCCGATGGCGTTGTCAGAATTACGATAAAATACAAGTTTACAAAGTTAAAGCAGGTTTTATTCATTTTTGGGGGTCCTTGAGGGCTAATTTGCATAATGCGGAAAAATACAAATTTCCTCATTCTTGCCAGTTGCACTCGCGTGTGTGGCCGGTGGGGGGAAGGGGTCCGAAGGACCCGAGCTATCGGGAAGTCAAACTTTTCATGCAAAGGCCGTATTCCAGCGCCCAAGGCCCGCGAAGCGGGTTTTGGGCGCTGGTTGAAGGATAAAATGGGGTCAAACGGGGGCCAGGGTTGAAAAGTCGCGAAGCGACTTTTCAACCCTGGTCATAGATAAAAAAAATAAAAAATAGAATTGGAATAGATTTTCTTTGTGCTAGCCATGCGCAAAACTATTCTCCCATTTTCATTTTATTTCCCCGGGATTTTGGAAACATTTTTTCTCCTGGAAATTTCTTTAAAATATATAAATGTCAAATGGAAACTAAAATTCTTTCCATCGATTTGCGGTGGATTTTGCGGCTTTCGGGTGGCGACGCGGAAAAATCCACAAAAACTTTCCGCTTGGAACGATTTCGGCACGACTACAATTAACCGGGACTTAACTTTGTATCCTGGTTACCCGACATTTTTGACACAATTTTTGCCAATTTCTTGAAAATTGCAGTTTTTGAAATGCATGTTGTCGCAAATTATTTTCTCAGGTTTACCCTTATTCCCAGGGATTTCGGAAACATTTTTTTCTCTCCTGGAAAATTATGTAAACTATATAAAAATGGAAAATGGCAACTACGATTCTTGCCATCGATTTGCGGAGATTTTCCACGCCGCCGTCTAGTGACGCCAAAAAATCCACAAAAAAAATTTACGCTTCAAAAAACAACTTTCGGATCCACCGCATCGGGTGACTAAGACTGAACCGCGAATTTTATTTCCCTCAAATTTTTGAAACATTTTTTTGCCAATTTCTCTAGAGTTTACGGTTGCTCTGTAAAAACCGCAATAATATACATTTTTAGCCACCGAAGAAAACGTGCCCAAGCTGCCGCAGCCCACCTCAACGGCCCGGCGGAAATCGCAGGATTTCCTGACGTGGACGGGACTCCGGAAAATCCGGAGAAGATCCCTAGACCCGGAAGTCGAGCAGAATGGCGTTCCGGTGAATATTAAAAGAAAATTTAGAATATAAAAAATGATAATAAATCAATTAATAAAAAAAATTATGTTTCGAAGTTTTGGAGAGTTGATGAGCAATTTTTTAACGATATTAAGAACTTCGCCTGAGCACAAAAAACATTACAGGACTTACATTTATTTTCAGTCCTCACGTGACGTCCCCCGTCTTTTCAACGCCAAAAAATTCTGGAAGCCGAGGCGGAAGTCGTCGAACAGGTGAGGGTTCCTGGAGGAGGATCTTTTGCATTATCGGGGGGTCCTCTTTGTCCAGAAGTTCCTAGTGATTTAATTTTATCTATTTTGGTGGGATTTTTGATAAATTTAGCTAGATACAAAATGTTGAAAACAAACGAAATTTCGGCAAAATTCGGCTACCTCGCCGAAAAATCTATATATACTATTTTTATTTAAAAAATTCGATCCTTACAAAAACGCTGCCCCCCCCCCGATAATGCTAAAGCACCCAGAGCCCAAAATAGATTATTTTTCTTACTTTGAAGGTCAAATAAACGGCAAAACGCAGCAAATTGTTTTTTGCTCTCTCACTTTCTTGCCACACATTTTTGAAACATAGGTTTTTTTAGCTTTTAGTAAAAACAAACTCTTTGCGGAATGCAGTGAGAGAGGGAGAGGAGAGAGAGAAGTAGAGAGAGAGAGGGAGAGTGAGAGGGAGAGGAGAGAGAAGGAGAGAGAGAGAGAGAGAGAGAAAGAGAGAGAGAGAGAGAGCGAGAGAGGAAGAGGCTAGCACAGATCTTTGAGGAATTTCATGCATTTTTTTCAGCCTTCCGGACCATTCCCACCTGGAAATCCCCCCAGAATCGAGTGATTATCTCGACGAGCCGAGCAGCCCTCACAAAAAACGCTCTTCCGTCCCCCCAATGCAGCGGTTTCACGTGGAAACCCCAGTATCCCCATCGGTATCCGATTCGGATAGCGAAATGGCCACTTTGCCAAGCATGCCAAGAGCTTCTTCGTGTGATACGTTGAGCCAGAATTAAAGGGAAAAAGCAAGGAATCGCTACAAAATCTTGTCGCACGAAAAAAATTCTGAAAAAGCGTTTCAAAAATTTGGAAGCAGGAAAGACTAGAAAAAACAATAATGTGTCGAAAGAATCCACTGAAAATAATTTATCGAAATATCAAAATCTTGAGGATTTTCCGAATTTTCCTTGCTAATCCCTTTAATTCATCTTTTATTTTTCTCTTTTACCCTGCCAATAGCATAATACAGTGTGGAACAAATAAAACCCGAAATATACCTTTCCCGAGATTACTGTAATTTTCGTATTATCTAATTGTCATTTTTGGTTTTATATTTGCCATTTTTCGCTTTTTCTTTCTTTTTGTACTCCGCTCCGCATTAATACGGGTTGTATCTTTTTTTGCCATTTTTCTGAAGAAGATCGGCTCCGCTATTGTCCACAAAACGCCTGTATTAACCAAATAAATCGATAAAACATCAAATTTCCTAAACAAAAATAACCTATTCAGAAAATCAAAAATAAACACATTGAAAAACTACTACTACTGAAAAACAAGAATCGCAGGATGGGGTGGAAGCGTGGAGTGTCGCAGCGCGGCAATTTACAGCGAAAAACGCTAAAATTTCCTTTTCAAGAATTTTCCATGGCAAAAACAAGTTTCAAAAATTTGCCGGGAGAAAAAGAGACTGAAATAAATAATGGAGCGCAACTATGACGTTGAAAACAATGAGAATTTTTAGTTGTATCTTTCTAGGTTATACTGTAATTTGTATCTTATCTAATCGTCATTTTTGGTTTTTCTATTGGTCATTTTCACGTTTTCTTCCTTTTTGCGCTCAACTCCGCATTAATACGGGTTGTGATTTTTTTTCTGCAATACTCAAGAACCAGAACGAACGTTAACATAATTGTCCACAAAATCCCTGCCCTGACCGAATAAATCCATAAAACATCCAAATTCAAACAAAAAAAATATACTCAGCCACACGGACAAGACCGCATTGTTCTCAAGATTCCTGCCCAAATCGAATGAATCGATAAAACATCCAAATTTTCAACAAAAAAAACCCCATATGCTGCGAAAATTCATTAGAAACCTTCCATCAAAAAAATAACAAGAATCGCAGCGCGGAAGGAGGCGCTGCGTGTCGCGGCGCGGCTAAAAACGGAGAGAATCCACAGAGAAGAATCGATAGCCGTGCCTTGCTAATCCCTTTAATTCATCTCTTTTTTCTCTTTTTCCCTGCCAACTGCATAATAAAATGTGTGTAACAAATAAAACCCGAAATATACCTTTCCCGAGATTACTGTAATTTTCGTCTTAGCTAATTGTCATTTTTCGTTTTATATTTGTCATCTTTCGTTTTTCTTTCTTTTTGTACTCCGCGCCGCATTAATACGGGTTGTAATTTTTGTGTAATTTTCAAGCCAAAATCCGCGGATTAATTGTTCTCAAAATTCTTGTCATAACCAAATAAATCGATAAAACATCAAAATTTCCAACCAAAAAAATAATCAATTCAGCAAAAATTCGCAAAAACAACATAACCAAAACTACAAACTACAACAACGTTTCTGGGAGGCACTTTTAGTTGCCGGCCGCCGCTTCGGCCGCTCGTCTCGCGTTCCGCTCCTCGCGCGTGTACCGGTGCTTGCGTTTTGCCTGCAAAAAATGGAGTAATTTTTATTTCCTTAATTCTCCTTTTAACTAAATTCTTAGGATCGAATTCTTGAAATGTTTTTAAATTATTTAAATTTAAATAAATAGCGTTCACAAACCATTTTTTTTGGCTATCCTCAATGTAAAATTCACGCATTAATTTTTACTAAAAAAATGCAAACATAAAGATTTTGGCGAAAAATGGCCGTTTTGAGCACATTTTTGAACTTTTGAAAAACAATGAAAAGTTGTTAAATAGTTTGATTCTACTAAAAACATTATTAAGTACTAGCAAAAATTGTTGCCCCCGAGTATGCAAAAGAACCCAATTTATTTTTATCAATCTCTCCACCTCACC